GATTTGATTAAATAACACAATTGGGAGTTACCCTGGCTGAACTTCACAATGAGATGCATACCTGGACTGTATCTTTGTACCCACGAATGACCATGATCTATTCCAGAGCAGGCAGCTGCAAAAGACCTGGACATTTTGCATTTCCTTCCTACCATGTTACCCCAAAGGCAGACCCTTAATCAGCCAGAATATCCAGCTGTTTCCAGTTAATGTAACTGAAGTAACTTTTATAGGTCACTTAATGGTGTCTTCTAAGCAAATAAACAATGCAATGCTACCCTTGACCTGGAAGACACTGATTTACTGGCATTGTCAATAAGTGTCAGGACCGGAACCGCCAGCTTCCTGACCTCTAGAAATGCACTGCAAGGAAATCAGAGGCTCTCCTGTCAGTGAATGTGAAATACAATTTTAAATACCTTTCCAATAAAATAATGTGATTATTTTTCAAGCAAATCCCAACATGACAACAACATCTGGCTAAGTCACATGGTCGAGTGACGAGCGTGCTGAAGTTGCGAAAATCAGCACTGCGTCCGTGGTGCCGCAGTTCAGCAATTCATGGCGCCCCCAAAGCCTGAGGGGCCATCGCCAATCAGTCACAAAAATACATGCAGGCACTGGGAGAGCAAATCCACACAGGAGTCCTGCAGCAGATAGCGCAGCAAGGGTCCCGTGCGTGCAAATCCCATCAGTAATCCTGCTATCTTTCTGACACCTGGCAGAAACAACTACAAACAAACTAATGCAGTAACATCCTAAAATGCTAAACGTTTACGGCACACTATTAATTTACGTACTTTGACAAGGCTGTTAGCGACGTTCTCGTTTGACAATGTGTTGCTTAGCTAAATAATCTGCATGTGTATTACAGCAATGTGTTATGCTAATGACGCCTTTGCTCATCTGACCCATACTGGTCACACGTTGCTCCAGCGTCTACTGAATGCATGCTAATCAGACAGGTGCTCTTCTCTAGAGAGAGGGTGTTCTGGTGCCCTAATTACACACTACAAATTCTGAATGGAGAAGAGGTTTGATTACACTAGCATTGCACCGTACAGGCAATTAAACCTGGCCATTTAAGTGTATAAAACAAGATTAGGCACCACTTGCATGGACCCTCTGTTCATGTGTAATGATACAGTTCCCTTACCGCGTAAGTAATAAAGAGATTTAAAAACTCAGGGTGAAGTTTCTTTCAGATGCAGTTTTTTCCCCAAGTCCAAAAACCAACGATGTGTTAACATTTTATTTTTGGTAGCACGTCCTTGAAAGAAGTTGGAAGATAGAGAAGTGTACTGCACTTTCATAATATCACAGTGTGGTCTCACATTGACCACAGTCCATTTCTGTTTCGGGGGGGTTATCGTCCGAAAAAACAACTAACGCTTCTGTGAGTTTCTCGTGATCACCACAACCTACAGTACAACTGAGATGCCGTGGTGCAGGGTTGCCAACTTTGGTCAGCTGACTGGTGTGAGATTTTCAATCCAAGACAAGTCTGCACACACATTTATACAGTATGTAGGTAACTTTTATTACCTTGTAAATAGTTGGTAGGGATTGCAAATGACCCCAACACTTTTGATGTAGCTAATTTTAGGTTTATAATAGAATAATATAGATTTGCTGTAAGATTTCTTGTGTGAGAGTGAAAGAGTGTGAAAGTGTGAGTGTCACGCCAGATGCGAGAGAGTTGGCGACCCTGTGTGGTGGAAGTGTAACCTCTTCTTCCTCGTAGGAAGCTGAAAAGCTCTAGAAAGAGGGTGACCTACAGCAGTACTGGGGGTTGTATCAGTCTTATTTTTTTACTCTATAAAGCTGAGAACAGCATTTCACCCTTACAGACAAAAACATAAAAGAAAGCCACACGCTAGGCTTGATGATATAAATACCATTATCATTAATTCATATCCAGTGTTTATTACACCATAGATAACGACTATTACCCATAACAGTGATAGTAATCAAGCACTTAGATACAGAAATATATCTGTCTGTGTTTGTGTAATGCATGTAACGCTAAAGCAATTCAGATTGGGGTGTCTGTCTTAAAGCATTCGCGTTCGTCCATTCAGCGGAGGACGCAGTGGTGGGGGCAAAAGCGTGACAAAGCACATATAAACCCTCGCCAAGACGGGCGAAGAGACGAGACACTGATCGCGGAGATCGTCAAAATGACAAACCGCAGAGCGGTGAGCAGCGAAGCCTGTGATTTAGAGAACCTTGCTGTAGCTTCATTAAGTGTTTTTACGAGATAAGCCGCATGGATATTGCACCGAGTGCAGGTTTGGAGGGCTCCTATCGCGGTAAGCCTTAGAGGGAATCACGGCGCTTAAGTAAAAGCCCACCCTACCTTCCTCTCACGGTGCCCATGGACTGTATCTTCCATCCCATAATGCCTCTTCCCACTCATTTCCATCTTCCATAATCTCTAATTAGGCATCTTTCTCACAAAATTAAAAATGGTTCTTCGTTTGATTTAAAGATATAACCGAAAAATATTACCAGTTTTCAGACTAATTTAGAAGGGAATAGTGTTAATTCAGTAGGGAGACTGGAGTAAACGTCAACATGTGGCAAACAAAAACAAAAATGCAAGTTATAATTACAGTGAATGCTGATACATCAGAGGGCCTTCATTACTTATGCAAAGTGGTTCCACTCGAAACCAGCTGAGAAAACTTGAACTTGTTGTAACATTCAGTGTCCACTGAAGCTGTAGGTGCACACAGAACTCAGAGTCCCACCAAAACAAGTGACGGCTAAGTCACTGTAACTTCATTATAACACGGGACACTTGGGTTCTGGATGTACCGACGGGGAGTCCCGGAATCTAACGGCAGATCACACAACGAACGCTGCCTAACTGACAGACTTGGCTTCCAAACCCTGGGGGAGTCCTCACAGATTTCCTGCAAAGCCCCCCGTGGGTGATTAGCACTGGGGAGGCTCAGAGGCACAATCCGTCCTCTGATGGGGTAGCAGATTGGAAGGGCCCCGCCGCCGAGGGAGAACAAACACCTGGCTAATGCCTCCACAGACAATAATAAACGGTAGATGCACAACAGCAATCCGATAGACATTGTTATTCCTGCATTGCTGGGGCACGGCCATCAACTGCGACCTTCCGCTGGCGTGTAGGACGTTGCTTTAATTCAAACTCCAATTCAGGAGCTTTCATCTCCCATCCTCGTGTTGCATTTATCAATCACGAGATACAGGATGCTTCCCGACTTCCATTTTCAGTTATTGTGTGTTCCCAGGGAAACCAATACATAAAAAAGCTTTGGGTAGTGATATTTCCATTGATAAGTGTGCATGTCTCAAAACAAACCCGTTAACAATGTACAGGGACTTAAAAAAAGAAAAAAAAAAAGAAAAAACATGCTCTACCTTGTGATTGATACCATCAGTTTGTATCCAATGCAATACCATCAAAATAATGAACCCATGGAGCTAAAATACAAAGAATGCAAGCCTTCAGAGTTCGAGCCTGATCATTAATAAAACAAATTAGTTTTTGAAAATATTTCTAGGACAACAGAAAAAAACTAAAATATTTGAAAATTTAGAAATAGTTGAAAGTTGAAATTTCAAGTAAAATAGAATTTAACCTTACATAAAATTATCAATTTTTAAGCATTTAAAAATATTCATTTAGTAAGGATAATGACTATCTTACTGGCATAACTTACCCTCTAACTATTAAAGGAGAAAATTCAAGAAAAAGGTGGTCAGTTTGAATCAGCCATATTCAACACAGTTTGTGGTTACTAAAGCTAAGACTAATTTAGTCTCTCCTTTTTGTTTACTGCAAGGAGTTTATTATCAGTACTGGACAATAATTGAGCTCACAGTTTTTAATCAATCACAGACCTGCTGCATATATCAGTCTACTGTGCAAATGAAATCTACCGACTAAAAATATGCAATAAAACAATGAAGCCTTTCCATTATAAAAATCAATAATGCCGATTTAACAATAAAGACCTATTCACTGCTAACTACTACTGGTGCAAATAAGGGCAGATTTGATTCCCCGCATCAAACAAATTATGCATCTAATTTTGTTAATAGAGTTCATTAATGAATTGAAAATGAGTGCACTTTGCCCTTTGAGAACAGGATTCTAATTTGCCGCACATAGCTTTGAGCTATTACACATATTAAAAATCGGGATCTTGGAGCTTTGCATGGTTTTCGATGGTTAGCACTGTGGCCTCACGCCTCTGGGTTTGGAGATTTGAAACCCGTCTTTGTAAAAGGGCATGTTTGCATGTTCTCGCCGTGTCACATAGGTTTTCTTATGAAGACTGTTAGGCTAACACTTTGGACTGCAGTGTTTCTCAACTCGGTCCTCATGCACCCCCAGACGGTCCACATTTTTGCTCCCCTCACGGTCCTCGGGTACCCCCAGACGGTCCACATTTTTGCTCCCCTCACGGTCCTCGGGTACCCCCAGACGGTCCACATTTTTGCTCCCCTCACAGTCCTCAGGTACCCCCAGACGGTGCACATTTTTGCTCCCCTCACGGTCCTCGGGTACCCTCAGATGGTCCACATTGTTGCTCCCCTCACGGTCCTCGGGTACCCCCAGACGGTCCACATTTTTGCTCCCCTCACAGTCCTCGGGTACCCCCAGACGGTCCACATTTTTGCTCTCTAGCAGACTGTCTGGGGGTCCCTGAGGACTGGCTCTGGAAACACTGCTGTAGTATATGATTGTATGTGCCCTGCGATAGGCTGGCAACCCTTTCAGGATACACCCCCTGTGTCCTGTGCTGTCTCAGATGGGCTCCACAGCCCCCCCCCCCCACGCCCTGACCAGGATAAATGGATGGATTTTAGAGAAAACAATCATTTCAGCATCACAACAGCTGGGCATCACAGGAGTTGTGCCAATAATTAACGACTGCAATCTAAAAACAAAAGTAAAGGGCGTAGCATTACATACATGCGTGTGTGCATTTCTTTACACCTGTGTACATGTTTACCTGTATTCCTCCTGGGTGAAAACTGGGATGACTGAAGGCTGAAGAACAGTTATCTCAACAAGAGTACTATTCATCTTGACTGGATCACCATCGTCGTAAGCAATAACCACCAGCTGCAACGGAGGGAAAAAAAAATCACAAAAATATCAGGGTCAAAAAAAAAAAAAAAACACAGTATGATCACTGTTTAGGGGACAAAAACCAACAATGACACTCGGGTTTTGAAATGCAAGAGAAAATGTCACATTTGCGCAAATAGCTTTTGTCAGGTTTTTGTAAATGGCTGTAATACAAACTCATTCTTCCGTCATTTTAGCCCAAGCTATTTCCGCTCTAGCATAGCATTTCTTGCATTATTTACCATTTAATATGCTTGCTTTTCTGCGAGAAAGAGCTGGGATGCAAACAGTGTACAACATACTTACCCTAAATATTGTGCTGGGCTTTTCGTTGAGATTGACCCTAGTGATCACCTTGCCCGAATCTTCTTCCACGTCAAAAATACTCCCGCTGTACGGGGATTGGTCCAGATCCACTCTGTAACGCACACGACTTGCGGCAGTACCCTGGAAAACAGAGCATGAGCTCCAGGATCAGGCTGATACGGTCAATGGCACCAGAAATGTAGACCAGCAAATAATGATTCCGTGTTTTTGATCTCCTGTATTGCAATTGGGCGCATCTTAGCTATTACCAATGTGTGCTTACTGAAGATTGCCCTGGCGCTGACTCCATAACAGTGAATAAAATAACATGGTCTTGGGTGACACATTCTCGGAGACATTATTTCTGCGCGTCAGTTTTTCTTAAACTGGGGTAACCTGGGGTACCGGAACGCCGCACGATTTGTAGGCTCTATTGTCAGTGAGTTTACGATAAATCTGGCGGAAGCCAGGGCCCCAAGAGAAATCAGCTAAATAAACAGAAATCCATCTTCTAACAAGCCCAATAGCACAGCTAATGGTGCCTGCGTCAGAGGGGCTTAGTGTAAAACGCGACCAGTAAACGAGTCATTGAACTCACTGATTCATTACTGATGCGGTTACGGAATGGGCACAGCTGGAGCTGATGTGGTTATGAGGGGGAAAAAATAACCACTCACACAGAACAATGATATGTATGTGGAAGAAATCTAGGTGTACGTCTTGTTTTGCTCATTGCTCACGTAGCATACCACAAAAAAGAAAACAAAACTACATTTTAATATACTAAATTTACATCTACAGGAGGTTTTAATTTGAATAAAATAAGACTAACACTAGAATAATTGTTATTATTGTTGTACTGGGGAAAAACATTCACATTAATAATATTGATACAATGCCAAGTTTCATGGAACAATCTATTTCATTAAAAAAAGGAATTTTGGTTTCAGTTATTCTCCAAATAAGAATATATATTTTTTTATTTATTATTTTACAGACCAATCCTGGATTTGGAGTGGGACAGGGGCTTTCTAGTTATGAATATATTTACCAGTGACACAAGTATAATTTAGACCTGTTTTAATATCATACCAGCAGTGAACTATACCTCTATGCACCAATAGCAAACGGAGAAGCATAATTTTTTTTTTTTATCTATTGGGTTCAACGATATTTGTTCCACTTCTTTCCATATTTTGACAATAGCTGTCACTACAGAGAAGCAAGGTTGTACTCCAGATTGGAAAGCTTACACCAGATCTGCTGCCAGTGGGTAGGAGGAGAAGATGACAGAGCAACAGATCGGTGAGAGACGCCACCAAGCCACCAAGCCGTCGCGAACATGAAACATTAGGAACTGCATCATTGACTCCTCCTCCAGTAACTCGTTCATCTGCAAGCAATGTGTACGTACTACTGCATTTAGCAAAGATTCCTATCATTACTGTTTATATCATGTCTAAGCAATCACATGACCTTCAAATGGACACACTCTAGATATAATCAGCAAACTGTGCCGATTCAAGTTTGTTGTCTTTCGTCAATACTTTAGAGGTTTCTGCACTAAAATCCGCGACATATCAGGAATGCCGCCGATTCTAGATGGTCACCTCCCCACATGAACCACCATGATCATGATGAACCACCGCAAATATATGAAAATATACTGTTTTAATAAAGAGTCTAAGGGGATTTTCCAGTTTACAGCATCATGAGGGTTTGGCACTAATACTGAAATTGTAGTACAGAATAATTTTCCAGTTTATAGAACCATGAGAGCTGAGTGCTAACACTGAAATCAAAAGATTGACCCTGACTCAAACTTAGCATTTACTGGGCAAAAAAAGATATTTAGTAACACTTCCAATGAATGCCATATCAATCTATGAACACACTGACAACACATTATAACACACTCATAAAGCATTATAAACATGCCTATAGAGATTTATAAAGAGATAACACATTATTTCATGTATTTATTATGCATTATGAATGCTTTTTGAAGCAGTCATCTATAATGCACTATAGAAACCTTTATAATGCAGTAAAAAACATCCTTAATTCTTACACTGACCATTATAATGCATTATGGTATTCTATAGTGCATTATAGGTGACAGCTTCAGCGGAGTTTATGAAGTTATATATTCATTCATTCATTCATTCATAATGTTTCCTGCCTGCCAATAGAAGGTGCTGTAATGCTTTATTAATTGCTATACTGACCATTATAATGCATTATAAAGATACCTATAATACATTATAGATGACAGCTTCTAGTAAAGTGTTACCAGATATTCTTCTTTATTATTATGGTAACACATACTTAAACTGTCATAATAATACTTCATAAGATGCAGTGATGCTCTTATCTGTGATTCAGTGATGCTCTTATTAAAAACCTTTTAAAATCAACCCTTACAGAACAGTGTCAATGTTTTTAATTTGGTGCTTTTATGTTTATTTTTCTGTTTCACTAAGTGCGATGTTATTGATTTTTAGCCTGTGTTTTTGTTATGATTTTTGAGAGACTTGTGAGACTTTTTTGTTATTGCTTTATTGTTTGTGGTTGTATGTTCATTGTATTTTTGAGAGACTTGTGTTTTGTAGTTATATGTTTCATTGCCTGTAGTGAATTTGGTAGTATGTCTATTGTGTGCTTGTAACTAGCCGGCATTCTTGGCCAGGACTCCCTGGTAGAAGAGTTATTGTAACTCAATGAGACCATCCATCCATCCATCCATCCATTGTCCAACCCGCTTATCCTACTGGGTCGCGGGGGGTCCGGAGCCTATCCCGGAAGCAACGGGCACGAGGCAGGGAACAACCCTGGACGGGGGGCCAGCCCATCTAAGGCCTCAATGGGACCTTCCTGGTTAAATACATAAAATAAAATATCTATAATGCACTATAGATACCTTTATAATGCATTATAATAGTTAGTATAAAAATTAAGGATGCTTTGTACTGCACTATCAAAGTATCTATAGTGCATTATAGATGAGAACTTCAAAAAGCATCCATAATGCATAATAAATATGGCTATAATGTTATGCCTTTTTGTAAATAGTTATAGCCATGTTTATAATACTTTATGAATGCATTAGCTACTGGAAGCCTTATCATAAAGTGGTACCCTTTTTTATAAATATTTAGAACCATGTTAATGATGCTTTATGAATGCATTAGAATGTGTTATGAAGGTGTTCATACAGTAGATTCTTATAGACATGGCATTCATAGAAAGTGTTACCATTATTATTATACAGTAGGTACTACTACTGCTTCAGGGAAAATGCTTTGTCTTCATGGTTTTCCATCTCTCCGTGACGCTCGGGGTCCTCTGTCACTCAGTCATCCTCCTCTTGAACCAGGTTTAGCAGTTAACTGCATGGATAACGAAAAGCCTGTGGATAATAACAGGCCTTCAGGACAGAGGATGAAGTGTGAAGGCTTGAAGATGCCAGAAATTATGTGGGGCGACCTAGACTGAACTCCACGAAGAGGAAACGGGCCCCAGATGCTGAAGGAGACCTCAGGAAAGGCAAGGAGCAGGTGGCCAAGCTGCCTGCTGGACAGCAGCTTCATATTGCTCTCGCGTTCTTCAGCGGGGCGGGCAAAGGGCAAAGGTCATGTTTGTATGATGACTGCTGATTCACACGTGCTGCAGTAATAAAAACAGCTCACAACCAAGAATCTCCTCTAGGAATCACACTCAGCCAATGGCCAATGTTTTTCCTGCGTTTGGCAATGATTTTTTTCTACCTCAACCATATACTTCCAAAAACAGTGTATTAATTTGTTGCTGCTTTACAGAATTCCATTAATTGCAGGCCGCATTTTAAAGATTATTAGGAAATTCCGGGAATCAAGGTGGCAGTTCAGCTGATATGGAAAGCTAGCCAGCGTGGTTACGTTTATGTCATTGACAAAGCTGACAACGGTACATAGATTGGTGATAATAGACTAGAAAATGCCAAAGACATTAGAACAGCATATTTATAATGTCACTCGCTTTCAGTGACACGAAGTTGATACTTGGACGTTTTTAGAATTCTGCAACACACGCCAGAGACTTGATGCAAGCAATTCGGGCAGATAAATTTTAAATGAAACATTTTTTTTCCTTTGGCAAAGAGCTGGCGCATCGAAAAAAAGAATCGGATAACAAAAAATGGACTTAAATGGACTGGATATTCAAGACCTTTGTCTCCAAGGCAATTCATCCTTGTTTAGATGCAATCTCCCTAGTTTTTCAGGTAGGGGAAAAGAGCTGTTCACCTCCTCTCCTAAGATGTTTAATTTAATATCATATTCTTTGTTTGTAACCTCATGAACAGCGTCATGCTTCACACGGTGCATTAACCCAGCATTAAGGGATTTAAGATGCCGTTTCTGTCGCTCTGCTCAGAAAGGTCTGGGAACCTTAACCTAAAGAATGTGCAACAGGACCAAATGTCAGTATTTAATATAATGTTGTGCTTAACGAGCCCACCACAAACCATACCAGTTAAACAGACAGCGTGATTTCCGGAGTCTTTCTACATAGTTCTCCTTTACACCAAAATGTTCCTGGAAGTGCACCATTGCCATGGCAGCTCCCACCACAAATTTGGGTAGTAACTGTTTCTGAACAAAGCAACGATTTGCATTCTTGGCCTCAACCTGGGGTTGGCAACCTAATTTACAGAAACAGCTACTTCAATACAGAACATTATGTGGGGAGCTACGTGTTTGATAAATGGTAGCTTGTAGGAGATGTGGGGGGTGACCACTGGCCTAGGCGTAGCTGTACCGTGTTCCGATTCGGAGACTGCGCTTGCTAACCCCGACCAGAGGTGCGTAGTTCAGGCCCAGAGAGTAAAATTCCAGACCAAGATTTTGTTTCAACCAACCAGCAGAGTACCGTGTGACTGTGACTCTTTATGCTCAACTGGTTGGTTGAAACAAAATCTTGGTCTGGATTTTTCTCTCTGGAGCTGAATTACCCACCTCAGACCCCAATGCCTGATTAGTCGGCCTCATGGCTGATTGGCTGCGAACATCATACAGGACCCTTCCAAGGACAGATGGCCCCCATCCTGAAAACAAACCGAGGGGGCTTGCAGTGACAGGGTCGCAGCCAGGGGGGGTGCCACCGGAGGGTTCCCCTGGTTCTCACGTCCCTACATCAGTAACGAGAGCTGAGAAACGGCACGGCAGCCCCCCCGCCCCGTGGCAGGAGGGGAGGAGAGGCCATCGAGGCTACAGTCGGGTGAGACGCCAGGCGTCAGTGTCGGGGAGAGACTGTAACATGTATATCTAAGGAGAGGGCGGGCAGCGGGAACAGCCTGGCGTTCCTGCGGAGGGGGATCACAGCAGCCCTGCCAGCGCCCGCAACCTGCGGGTCAGACCTGGCCTTGAGGATCCTCTCTGATGTTTCTCTGCCGTTTTAATCTCCACGCCGCTCACTGCTTTATAAAAACCACTCAAGTGTAACATAGCAGGAACATTTAGAAAAATGTAATACTACTAACCCAAAAGCACTATTTAAAAGAAAGGCCTGTCCCCGCCTCCATCTGAGTCTGCAGAACATAAATGAGGCTTAATGCTTCTTCTGGGTGGCACAAGGCACAAGGGTCTCATTTGTGCCCTTTCAGCACACTTTTGGCCTTTGTCACACCCATAATATATCCCATAATAAGATAACACGGTATAAAAGCCAACAATGAATTTCCACAGCCCCTGCTTGGTAGCTGGTAACACTGATACTAATTTTCCAGGGCACAGGGTGACTTTAAAAAAATAAATAAATAGAAACGGCCACAAAGCAGCCCAGGAAGCTTGGGTACGCAAGGGCTGTAAAACTACTTATGTGTGCCCATCACATTCGTGTAAGGGCACGTGGACAAATCAAATTACCTCGGGGAAGAATCCAATTATTCTGCTAATGAACTGCTGCATTCAATCAAAGATTGGTAAACGCACCTTTAAAGTAACTGAACCATTGCAGCAGAAATGAGCTTCCTTGGCTCGCTGGTGGCTCCGGATGCACGTTAAGCTGATAAAAAGGAGTGAACCAGCGCGTTCGCAAGGAGTCAGTGGAGCACAAGAGTCTGTGCGATTTCCAACATAAAAGCCTCCGCCGAGTCGTACGGACATATGACATCAACTGGATTTGTTTTATATCTATGTTATAAATTCGCATATATGCATACCAAATGAGCATGAAAAATCAACGGGATTTAAAAAATATATCTATAAATGCAGAGATATGCATACCATACGGGCATATAAAACCAATGGGATTTTTAGCGTATATAAATATTTTATAGACTCTGATTTATGCGTGAAATATGGGCATATAACATCAACTGGATTTTTTAAATATTTATTTTATAAATTCAGATATATGCATACCATATGGGCATATAACATCAACTGGATTTTTTAAATATTTATTTTATAAATTCAGATATATGCATACCATACGGGCATATAACATCAACTGGATTTTTTAAATATTTATTTTATAAATTCAGATATATGCATACCATACGGGCATATAAAATCAAAAAGATTAAAAAAAAATTTTATAAATTCAGGTATATGCTGGGAAACAAATTTAAAATGGTGATTTTCAATAACAACGCACTTTAAAATCGTTTATTTTTTGTTCGTAAGATTTAAAATGAGCATGACAGTAACGGGTCAATCATTTTATATAAACATCAAAGGTTGCAGAGATAAAACTCAACTTCTCTGCCCCTGAAAAACATCACACTCAGGAGACTGGCTTCCATCAATGTGAGCAATAGGATTAACGTGACGTCCATACCATGTAACGGCGAGCGCAGAGCTGTCATTTCTACTCACAGGAGGGTCCCGATCTTCGGCGTGCACCGTCGCGATGAGGCTTCCCTTCACTGCGTTTGGCGCCACCATTCCGCGGTACAGAGCTTGCCCGAACACGGGGGAATAGTCATTCATGTCCTGTGAAGTACAATTCCGACTTCAGCATGGAAACCCAGCGGGAATGGGACAGACTCACGCGGACAGTTTTGTCGACCGGCTCTGGCACATTCCGTTTTTATTATAAAGGGCATTTACAGTGTCTCGTTTCAGGTAGCGGGAAACCAATTAGGACTGAAAGGAAGTGTTAAAAAGAGCTGGCATTTATTCAATAGAAAGACATGCAAAGCATTTGGAATGCAGCTCCTTAACGTCCCTCTTTGAGTGCCAAACATACAGAACACAGTCAGGTACATTGCCTTTCCAAGGGCGGGGGAGACGCCCCAATCAGGACATTTATGAGTTTTTTTATTTCTTTTTTGTCCAGTATGCAAATGATTGACAGACCTGACAGTGATCAGATAAGCTCTGACCGACTGCATTCTGTGTTTTTGCTCCCCCCCCCATCCCCCCACCAATCAGAGGGAAAGCACATTTATATTCCGGCTACGGCCGTGGAAACATGCCAATTGGAAGTGCTCTGGGAGAGCTAACGGGGGGATGTTATTAAATATAGGCTTTATGTAAATGATTTTTTTTTTGGTGGTTCATAAAGGTGAATGAAATCGCATAGCGCAAAAATGGCACTGGAGAGACTGTTGAGATTTCTGAACATCATCCCAGCTACTCAGGTGTGCACCGCACCCGAGAATCTACATAAGAAGCGAATCTTTTTGAGGGGGAGTCCGATTCCCCGACGAGCTTAAGCAGGCGACTCCCCATGTGACGTGGAAACGAGAGCCGCGCACACCTGAGTCCCGCCCGACTCCCATCAGGGACGGAATAGGAATGTGGCAGCGTCCTGGGCTGGTTCTGCAGCCGACTGGCCTGGGGAAGAGGGCGGCATCCGCTTTCGTCCGTTTTATAAAGAGCATCCAGAAATTCAAGGGGAGGACAGAGGAAGCGGGGTCCCCAAAGTCGAAGTACAGAGGGGTCCTTGGGTCGACCCAAAGTCGAAGTACAGAGGGGTCCTTGGGTCGACCCGGCCTTATACATGGGCATTTTCATTACTCCGCCCACATATATTTGTGTGTATATCACATAATGGTGGCACTGTACGTGCTTGTTGCAGGCACTATCTATCAGGGTAAAAAAAAAAACACCGAACAAGCTTAAAAAAGAAAATGAAAGACCGAGGACAAAATGAAGCCTTTTCTGCCCTGGCTATGCTTTCCACATTAACGCAGTAGCTCCCTCGAGGGTAATCCAGACCACGCTCTACACTCACATTTCCTGCATGTAGCAGCCAAGGCCATTCCCACTGAGGCTCAGTGTCTCGCTAAGCGCTAATCATTATCCACGTCACAGACAAACCAAGGCCGGCCCGTACGGCCATTAGCTGCCTCTCAGTTGGTGCATACTTCTACGTGAACTTTTTTCTCCACTTTTAGGCTGGAAATGTAGAACGGACTTTAACCGAAGTGGTTCCCGTTGGGCAAACAGGTACAAACAGAAATAGTACATTTCCACAGCAGGCCGGTACTTAATAATTATACAGTGTGAATACACAGTCTATAAGCAACAACTGGCTTGCTGGCAGCTTATTCATCATTTTTTATTTTACAAGGATTCTCTTAAATTAATTTAAAAATTTCGCATTGAAATGTAAGAAAAGTAAGCCCCATTTTATGAGGAAACAAAATGTTCATTATAATTTTTAATTTAATTATTTGCTAGCTTAACAAATTATTTAAATTTAATTATCATTTAATTAACTGGACTAAACTCAACTATTTTACTAAATTTATTGTAATCCATGGGCATTTATTCAAAAGATCATTTTATATTATGAATCCTTCATATAAATCTGTCCACTGCAGAAATCCTATTAATGAAAGGATTCAAATCAGAATTTCATTTATTTAATCAAATTACATAGAATGAAATTCCAAAAAGACCTTGCACGAATATTCCTAAGGTCATTGTGGTTATTTTAATGTGGTACCTTACTGGTTTACAAACTATAAATAATGGAACAAGAGTGGGACCCTCCTATGGTACAGTACCTCACTAGCTTGTACAAAAACAAAACCGTGTCTTCTGGAAAGTTGTGCTCTCGTGATTTAATGATCCAGCCGCCTTACCAATCACAGATAAAGGTACTATTCATTGGACTAAGGTTTTAAGTCTGTGGATCATTTTTTGCATATTTGTGAGTACATTACATTTCTTTTTCCAAGGCATCAACATTTTTCAGTTCAGCAAATGGCCGAATGTTACTTTACTTGTTTCTACCACTTATCAAGAAATAAGGGTCTGCTTTAGAAAAAGGATGATGATGAATCACATATCCAAAGCTTTGTTTCCGTTTAATACAGATGTTAAACTAAGATGATTCATAAGGGAAAACTAATGGCAAGACAAGGCTAGCTAATTAATAAGTCAGACTAATAAAGTATTGTACTTCAAGCAATTATGATTTCAAGCAATTATCACTTCAAGCAGCTATATAATGCTGTCATTTTACCTTTACTACACAGGAAAGATGTAAAATCTAAGCCATATTAAAGAGTTATGTTAAAATTACTACCCTGTTCTGCATTCACAAATGGGAATTTTAAATCTGAGTAAATGCTGAAGCGACTGACATATCACCATTTTGTTTTATTTCCTAGCTGTAATTATAACATATTATAATCTTTTACATCCTTCCACAGATCTTTCACATATACATAAAGCAAAATGGCAATATTTCAGCCTTACTCTGCCATTTAGCTAAATTTGAAATAGTTGTGAACAAGCTTTAAGGAATGACCCAATACCATCACTCAAAGATGGAAAATTAATTTGGTTTATTCCTATAAATTAATTCTCTCTAAGCTTTCAATAAATTGCAGTATAATCAGTAATTTTAAAAAAAAAATAAACTCAAGGTTTTCAGCGGTCAGATTCAATGTTGCCATGAAATATTTTGCAGTTATGCACATATCTCAATAGCATTCTATCTAAAGATCCACTTCCACCTTAAGGTTTCAAGGCCTACCAGAATTTTTTAAAATTGTGAAATTCCACCTGATGGACAAGTACATAGGCAGTCTCATATTACACGTTTACGTTCTTGCAGTTTTACGATATGACAAAAAACTACTTATGTTCACATTATGGGACCCATCTCACCATTCACTTGGATTTCTAGTGTCAGCTGGTTTATCTCCAGAAGCACCAACTACCAGACACCCATAATACATACAAAACAGAGCCGTCACCACAGCCACGGCACCTTTGCAGTAACTGAAGAATCATCGAGGTTATAGCATTTATGAACCATGTGGAAAAAAAACAATAATGTTGAACATTAATCAATGACCACGTTTCTCGACCCATTGAAAGGATGCAATTGGGATGCAACACAGTGGTAGAGGGAGAACTGTCCTACCAATATTTTGATGGTGACGGTAGCCAGGCCGGGGGGCATGTTCCCACCGACGTCCGCGGCCTCCACTACAAAGGTGTACGTCGCCCCTGAGCTAGCGAGGTCCTCAAAGTCCAATATCTTCAGCAGTGAGAGGTGCCCCGTCAAGGGGTCGATGGAGAACAGCTGTCTGGCCTCCACGGTGCGGATGCGATATGTGATGTTGGAGTGAAGGTCAGCATCGGTCGCCTGGGAACAGAAGTACGGGGATGATAACTGGGTGGCATCTATCCAACACTTGCGCCGGAGTCCGGATACATCCGGAGATATCTATACCGTTTTGTCGCCCGTCTTCTTAACCAGATCGAATTCATACCTTGCGTGTCCCAATAAACCGATTCCCGTGAGAATAGCTCTACCAGCATAATTTCGCCGAAGCAGAGGAAACCGCGACCCTCAGAAATTAGAAAGAGGCACTCAGCTGCAAGAGTCAAAGTTATCTGAAGGTGTGAATGCCTTTCGGGTGTAAGCCTTTTATGTGGAACACGCAGGGGAATTGCTGTACACATTGATAAAAACACTTGAGTGCCTTTCCCAAGCAAGAGCACCCCTTAATCTGCCTGAGATCTCACCCGACGAGCGGGGTCTTTCTCCCCGTGTCGCCAGGGACTGATTACGGGTGTGATGATAGGTTTGTCGGCAGAGGGAGATTAGAGGGGAGAGACCGTGCTGCCAGTGGCTGGCGTTGTCCCACCTGGAGAATACACTCGCCTTCAGGATCTCCGGCCCGTTCGCTCATTCAAACGCGTCTTATACATCATGCATTTTGTTATGAGGCACGGCGAGCTGCACCAAAATATAACTGGCGTCTGATACCCACAGCAGTGCAACTCAAGGATTTATTTCAGGACTGAAGTTAAAAATTCACAACTGTACAGAGACAATGTAGACAGTCGCATGGTCTTTTTTCATTGGGTATTCTTATAGATATAATATTGATATTATACTATACAGGAGTAGTGTGTGCTTCAGCAGGTTAGGATGCTGTGCCTATGATGGGAAGGTCATCACCACTGGGCCCTTGAGCAAGGTCCTTCACACCCCAATGTCTCCCTGGTTGACTCTGTATACTCAACTGTATGCTAAATAAATAAGATGTATACGTATTGGTATATAGTACTTGGCCAGCAATGGAACTTTCCAAGGCAGAGATGAGCATATGCTAGAATGTCTGGAAAAAGTATGTACAGGCAGACAGACGACATCACGTCACTCAACTAGCTAGAGCACAGATATAAAATATGAATGAAGGGTGGCGCTACTGTAGGCCTAAACTTCCAAATTGATCACGTTCACGCATCGTTAAAACGGGTTCTGCCTGCGCACACCTGAGCATGGCAAACAGCGCCCAGCGTGGATCTGACACCCGGAGATGCCGCGGATCTCTGTCGATTGGCTCAGGAGGTGCCAGACGGCCCCCCGGCTTCATGTATTTTGATGCCGAGAGACTCGCTTACAAGGTGTAGAGTTTGAATGCAGGTTGTTTGCTGTCGCAGTGGGTGTCTGTCTGACTCAGGCTAAGCAGGAGCACCGACGCGGGGAACGTGCGGCCCGACTCACCAGCAACTGCAGAAACACCGTTCCCACAGGGCTGTTCTCCGGCACGGCAGCCGTGTACGCGCTCTCGGAGAACACAGGGCTGTTGTCGTCCACGTCCAGCACCTCCACGGTGAGTCTGGCTGTGGCGCGGCGCGGGTCCGGCGCCCCATCGGACGCCTCCACGATCAGGCTGTAATGGCTCTGGGCCTCGCGATCCAATGGCACTGCGGTGAAGATGCTGCCGCTAGAGTTGATTCTGAACATCCCGGCGTGGTTTACCAGTTTGTACCGCACTTGCCCATTAACTCCCGCATCTGGGTCAGTGGCCTGTAAGCACAAGAAATCGATTAGTCCATGCAGACGAAAAGTGAATCGGCACGTGCGATCACAAGCATACGGACACCTGCTTACATTTACGTTTATTTCAATTCAGCAATTTTGTCCGCATCAATGTAAAAGTGATGCAAAAGGCACATTATAGACATACAGCTGTTAAGGACTCGGCTTCCAGTGAAAACCCAAGATACCCAATATATTCCAAACAAAGCAAGAACCTAATAAGATTACATTCAATCAGCAGAAAGTGCAACATTAGATAACATTTTAATGCGTAAAAGGTTGCAGAGTTTCTTCATCAAGACCAGAAGCTGCTTCGCTTATGTATTATATATCATATTTTAATCACTTATATTAATCACTTATATTGACCGTGGTTTGTCTCTCTCCGGGTCAGAACCGCCCGTGATCAGAAGGTCGGCCGGTTCAAATCCTATGTTCGACAGGGTGATGCCACCGTTGGGTCCTCAAGCAAGGCCCATAACCCCAATAGCTCCCAGGGCGCCAGACACAGGCCGACCTTGAGCTGTGATCCCCCAAAATTGCTCTCACCTGTATATGCCTGTACGTCTAATGGAGAACAAGATGAGATGGACAAAAACCCAATTTCCCCACAGGGATGAATAAAGAACTACTATTCCATTCTATATGGAATAAGTACCTACATCATTTTTAAAATAATTTGATACTTGAAATGCTGTATGAATTCTTTATTTACTAACTGTGACTTTGTAAGCAAACAGCTTCGGCTAGTACATATATGCATGTGATTATGCATTTAGTTTTTTTTTTAAGTTCACGATTGCAATGTTATTTCATTTGAGTACTCATTCAAGCACATGAGCATCTATGTTTTCGTACATTACCCCAATCCACCCCATGTACTTAAAGCTAACACTGAAAATATGAAAATGAATGCATTCTGCTGAGGATTCATTCGCAAAACGCCAAGCATGTTGCTCTCATAGCTTCAGAAATGTGCTACTGTATTTGCATTGTGATGAAGACGACGGCCCGCATTTAAGCTCCACTTTCTCTCGCGGGGGCAGATGAGACCTTCAGCTGTGCTTCTGGATGGCCGATCAAGGTGAGGTTTTGTGCAGGAAGGTGGTTTGATGATTAACAAAAAGCTGGATTGATATAACAGGTCTCAAAGAGAAGGCGCTTTCATGAAAAGACAATGTAGGACTGAAAAAGCTGACTGCATCAAAAACAAACAAAAATAGCATCCTGACTGCTATTCATTATAATCACTTTTGGTGTCTCAGGAACATTGATTATTCTGACTGTGGAAATCCTTGAACCCCTCTTAAATATGAAAAATCAACAATGCAAGGGTCAATACATGAAAAAATACAGTAAATTAATTTTTAAAATACTAGCTCTAAGAAACTAATGAGTTTCACTTAAGGATAAATTGGCAGAGAGTAATGAAACCATACATCTATTTAAATATCAATTAAAAAATTGATATTTAACACAGTTGTTTTTGCTGTGCTGCACACTCGTGTTTGTAAACACTTCAGGCTATCGTGGGTATAATTATTCAGCCGTGAAGAATCATGTCACAACATTGCTAAACCGGTGATTCCTCTGTCCTCATTTTTGCAAATTTACCTTACAGACGCAGTGACGGGACACGAGCGCCGCCAAACAAAACAAACTGCCACGTGGAGGCGAGCTTTGCATCATGGGATGGTCTGATTAGGCTACGGTGGCATAACGACAACACGGCAGGAGGGCATTCGGCATCTCCACCAATTAGGCCTTCCGGCTACATCCGTAACAAGCTCTGTCGCGCTGCCGACACGAGGGCAGAAACACTGACGTTCCGCCGTCTACCCTGACAAAGCCGCTGGAGCAGCCATGTTGAACATTACGGAAAATGCCTTATAACACTTAACAAGCGCAATTAGAAAACCTGCCTGGAGCAATTTAAATGCCAGTAACGTGGTGACAGGTTTTAAGTAGATGGGTCACCTGTTTGCATGCCGATCCAAGTGTATCTGTGTCTTTTTGCTGTGCATCCTTTAATCCGCTGGACTAATGTATTGTGCTACGTTTGCCCAAATGAATTCCTAGATATCCAGCATTAGCCATATGTTCAATGGGGGCGGGGGACTGAGGTGCACACCCTGCCTCAGAGGTAAATTATTCGCAGGGTGATTACTGTTTGGTATGCTGATACAGCATATGGCTTGATGTACTATCCTATTTAATGCTGCCGTCGCTGTGATATTTCCGATAGCTTACCACAGGGTTCGCAGGCGGATCAGATTCCGCTTGAGGTGGGCCCAGATTTAGGGGATGTTAACTTTGGACTGTCTCCAACATTCATGACTTGAAAACTTGCTAAATCCCAGAATAAGAGCCAGACTATGAGGACAAACGGTTAAACTCGGGCTCAGGTATCCGTGATCTCTGAGCCGTCCAGCCGCCACCCAGGTCAGCATTAAATTAACCACGGCGAACATATACATAAACGTACGGGCGCTCTGCGGAAACATCTAAACGTGTTACCCTCCATATATCTACCCAACAAGCCAAAGCTCTATTAATCTTAACCACCAATTAAAACTCCTTGCTGCTTAGCAGAGCTGAACAAAGCTACTCATTACGGGACGTCCCTGAAGGTAACAAATTATTTAAATTACTTTTATTTAATTGGAAAATTATAAACAGAGAAGCGTGCGTGCGCACTGCTGAGGGATATCGAGCTGGCTCTGCTCTTCGTTGGCTTGGCAGCTAGACGGGGCTCACATGGCAGACGAGTGGGGTATTCCAAAGGCCATGAAGAAATGGCTACCTCTGGGATCAAGTCCTCCTTCCACTGAGGCACGCAATTAGTCAAATGGGGCAGGCTTACAAACAATTACTAGCATTACAAAAGGACCAACAGGTGAGTCTTCTATAAAATCACTGAAGAATGACGAGAAGGAACCTAAAAGCTGTTTCAAAGCCAAAGTGGAGGACAGCTACAGACCCTACATATTCGCAACGATAGACACAGGGGTTGGTCATTTAAGTGGCGTCGCTTGTGACAAATGAAGACATACCAAATGCAGGTGTGAGAGTCCTACCTTAACCTGTCCCACAAAAGAGTTGGCCTCCCCCTCTTGGACGGTGAAGTTGTTTGGCAGAGACGCATCGAAGACAGGATCATTATCATTCACATCAGTGACCACAATGTTCACAATAGCTGTAGAAGTCTGAAATAAAAACACATATCAAACCAAAAATATATCTATATATTAATACCAACATTCTTCTGCATTGCAGAAATACACTGAATGCAATTATACATTTATTAGTACATCAATAATTGTAATTTATATTTAATATAGATACAAGAATAAATATGTGATCACTAGATGGCGGTTATCTTAGTGCTTATTATATATAATTTTCTTCTTTTGAATTATATATTTTATTCAACAGGAAATGTAGACGTTTATGCTGTAGGCAGACAAATTGCTCACCCAGCACAAGGATGCCCATCACTGCTCAGCAGAGAGCAGAATCACAATATCCTTTCCTATATTCTTTGCGTATATAGGATCATAGATTTTCTATAGCGGGCCTATCTAATTATGTTTGCCTGTGACCCGCAGACTGTGCCAGGAAGTATAAAACTCAAAGCAGGAGAACATGGGACGCCGATAAACGCAGATCTGCACGTCTTACAGCTAGAGAAGTGGGTGCGATTTTCTCTGCAGATGCAAAGAGTAACATCACAGAGCCCCAATGCAACACAAAAGGATGAATGCGAGTAGGGAATTAGGCCAAAACCAATGCATCCTTCTTTAATGGTGGCATAATGTCATTTTAGAAGTTCAGTGGAGCACGAAAAAATGCCTTTTGCTAAAAACCCAAAGAAGGTCTTCCACAGCACATTAAGTGGCAGTCAGAAATACTATTAATTTATTGGCATATGTGTTTGATTTATAACTGTACAGATCCCTCTGGTAGAAGCACATATTCAAAACAATAACGCTGCATTTCAGAATTCCGCTACTGTCAAAGTATTTCACGTGCTTTTTCAACAGCATTTTACCATTCATCCATCAACTGCTCATTGAGTATATAGGGGGCCTGGAGAGCATCCCAGGCAACATAGGGTAGATGGACAGGATGGCTGTCAGGACACACACACTACAAGCAATTCGGAGTCACCACTTTATCCAGATCTTTGCCCTTGGCCTGCGGGAGGTAACACATGCACACAGAAACCACAAGGAGAAAGCATGCAATCTCCATACACACAGAGCAGGAGCAGGGTTTGAACCCTCAACCCTGGAGGTCCGAGCATTCACGCACCTCCACGCCACCTATTACCACAAACATTAAATCAGCACGTCAACTGCGATTCTGCCTGTCAATACCAGGTTGAATAGAATCAAGAAACTCTGAAAACACTGTGGTCTGCCCTACACCCCAAAGATATAAGCTCTGTCACCTTGTCAGGGCGAATGATTAACCAAAGGATGATGACACAGGACAGGATAGAGCTGTGGTGCAATGGTGTATTACTTTCAAACCAGGGAAAAAACAAAAAAAAACTGAAATTGTAAGTAAGCAAGTACGTAAGCAAGCAAGCAAGCAGACAGATAGATAGGTCATAAGACAGACAGACAGACAAATAGAAAGAAACTACCGAAACAAAAAACTAAAATTCCTACTATTTGCATTTAATTTCTACAAAGGTATCTGCTCAAAAGCTGTTTCCTCCACCACCAGCAACCCCACAGTGACCCCCCGTGATAAATCATCAATGTGACTAACTCACTAATGCACATTCCAGCCACAGAAAGCCACTGACTCCTGCAGTACAAAATGTCAAAAATGGGGAAAATTCAAAACCACGTTCAGTTTTAATAAGCGTGTCAGCACACAGTGAACATAGCACCGTGGATACGGGTGCTGTCAGAATGAAAGGTCAACCTTTGCTGAACTGCTCAAAGTCCACTTGACCAAACAATACATTGACAGAACAGACGTCGAGCGGGACAACGTTGTGGTTAATGCTGTGTTTAATGTAGCGTTTCATGTTTCAGTGCTGCAAAGAACTGCGCAAAAATATGCCCACAAAAAGTGAAAGTCACATTTTATACACTCAATTTGTCTGAAAGCTTTAATCACTGAAACATGCTTTAAAATAACCTCTCACCTCTAACTGCTTCTTGAGCAATTTCCTTTTAAAAAGATAGTTGATACCAAGGAATTCAAACAAATTTAATCTGATTCGCAACATGGATGAGAGAGATTTACATACAGCATCATACAAACAGGAAAGATTAATATCCTCTGAAGCCAATTAGATTCCTTTCAGCCTGGTGCAATCAAAGCAGAGCATTTCATTAGGCCTCTCACTGTCATTTTGGTGCCGATTAATTAGTTTCTATAATTCATCACGTTAAAAGTCTCCTCTGTGATACGTTCCTCTTTCCCATCTGATAAAACCATAAAAGCAATGGAGTCAATGTGCATATATTTTATGTAGACAGACTAAAAGGTAGACGCTCTCAGGAACACCCAAGTAAAAAATTATTCAACATAAAAAAAGTTATGATAAAATTATCAGGGCTCACAATTCGACTATAGAATGGATGGATGGATGGATGGATGGAATTCGACAATGGAATATTTTTTAATATAATTACCTGCATCAAATAAGTCCAGTGTAACAATGTGTTTGCTACTCTAGTAGATGTGCTGGGTCCTTAAACACTCCATATCTATGAGCTCTCCAGATCAATTGCCAATTGATTAAACAGAACTTGTGGGATCTAAGTCATAGCCTGTAGTAGAAAACTAAACTGTTATTAGAGAGTACAAGGACACCATCTTGTTAGAGAATAGCAAAGGCGTCATGGTGTGCAGATCCACCACGCTGGAGTGTCCTCGCAGCAGGAATCATGCACCAGCAGAACTCCGTGACACTTTTGATCATTTTCTTATGGCTCTTGTGTGGCGCAGCCTCAGCTTGAGAGAGACATCAAAAGAGCACTCAGTCACAAGCCAAAATGGAAATAAACGTCCCATATCAATTGCAAAACTGTTTCAGTTTACTGCCCTTTTCAACCAAGCAAGGTCATTCTTGCTTTCATTTTACTCTGCCTTTTTACTCAGTTTAAAAAAAGTTAATTTCAGTTCAATTCATTTCAGTTCAATATAAGTACGGTCATTTCTATTTGATTGCAATATTAGTTTGCCTTTGCGTTTCATCCATTCATCCATACACTTTCCATACCTGCTTGTGCCATGCAAGGTTGTGAGGCCCAGAGCCCATACTGGAAACTACAGGCACAAGGCTGGGAATAAACCAGTACAGGGCACCAACCCATTGCAGATTTTGTTTCAATATTATATTATTAATTTATTAGTCTTTTTCATATTATTGTCTGTCCATTCATTTCATAGCAGCTCATTAGCTGTAAAACAATGACCTCTCTTGCGTTTTCAAATGAGCAGGATTTATTTCTGCGGTTCTGCATCAACACTGCAGGGCCCCCTTACAACAATCCATTCATCTTCCAACCGCTTATGCTGTTCAGGGCTTGGGGGGGGGGGGGGGGGGGTAGCTGGAGCCTGGCCCAGGAAGCATAAGGCAAAAGGCAGGAGAACGCCCTGGATGGGATGTAATTCCACTGCAGGGCACAAGACAGGCTAGTCGGGGGTGCCAATTAGCCTAACTTTGAAGTACCTTGAGGAGGGCCACGTGACGAGGGGAGAATGTGGAGCGGAAAGGGAGATTGGAACCCCTGCAGGTGTGAGCCAGCAGTGGTACTACACTTATAATTGTTGCTGCCTATATTTTGCTTAATTATCATCATATTACATTATTACGTTTCCCTCCTCCCAACAAAGGAATACTTCTCGGCATGTACAGTAAGCGCGAAAGGAAAGTTTTAGTCTTTGCACCAAATCAGTGCATCTTTTCTTAACATATTGCTATATTTACAAACACATCTTGGCATCTACACAGAGGCTCCATTGTGAAGGCAAACGCGTAGGCGGGGCGGCCGCTTCCTGCAGAGGGGGCCCCCATCTCCTCGGACCGATTCCGATTGATCAGCCTAGTATGCGGAGAGCCACGGCGCGAACGCGGCCTCTCTTCAGGCCGAGGTCACCGAAGTCGGGAGGCAGCGTCTGATTGCACCCTTCAGTGAGCCGTCTGAGCTCGGCGAGCTGGTACGGCAAATCAGTTAATGGCCGTCTCATTTTAAAAGGTCACTGCATTGCAAGGATGTCTCTCCCACACATTTTTTGTTTGATTAGCAACTGATGCCTGCAGGATTTATATAATAAAATGCTTTTCCTTGCTGTGAGGTTCAGCACCACAGAGACAGTAAGGAAATTGGCACTTTCAGCACCATGGACAGAGACTAGATGCATTACCCTGTTCTTCCACACCACTCACTCACTCACTCACTCACTCACTCACTCACTCACTCACTCACTCACTATCTATCTATCTATCTATCTATCTATCTATCTATCTATCTATCTATCTATCTGCCTTAAATAGGCTCTACACTCAATGGGAATCAATCTAATCTATCTGACTGTCTGTTTATCTCATTTTGAATATTGGGCAGCATCTTTCTATAAAAATGTTGATAATTTCTCCAAGGTTGACCCAGCTGTTTACAGCCTTAAGTTAAAGTTGATAATCTGCAGTTACTGTCTTTCTGTCTGTCCACAGACAGATAGACAGACAGACAGACAGACAGACAGACAGACAGATAGACAGACACCTAGCTACCTACAAACATACATATACACTGTATGGCCATATGAGCGGCACACACTTATACAAACAGCCACCCCTGACACACACACACATTTCAAATAAATGTTACTTCTATACAGCAACAACACAACATCCCACTCTGAAAATGAGCAGGGCTGAAAACGACGGCTGTGAGAAATCTGCCAATTAACCCGCAATCTCTTTAAATCCGACACCGCTGGGCAGAAGTTTGTATTAATCTTCCGTGGAGGTCACACTGCTCCCATGCTAAACGAGCCTTACAAAGCTGTATTACTGAGTATGATATTACACAAATCCCCGTGTGACACTTCTGACACTGGGTTAAGAGGTATGTCACAAGACACTGGAGGATTTAAAATATACATTAAACTGAACAATCATAAGTTTTGATTGGAGACAATAAAGGAGCAAGAATTATGTATGTATTTTTGTACAAATGTGTACAAACATGCACATACATACACACACACACACACAGGTTTGTAATTATACCTGTGTGGGGACTCTCCATTCATTTCAATGGGGAAATCGCTAATCCCAACATGACGACCCTAACCCCTACTCAGCCCTAACCTTAACCATAAGTAACCCAACATAATATGAGACTTTCGGCATTTGTAGTTTTATCGATTGCATTCACAGATCTTTGTGGGAACCTGAAAAATGGTCCCCAACACTTCAAAATAACAGGTGCTTATCATATTGAGGGGAGGGGGGCATTTGGTCCCCACAATGTAATATAAACATAATCCCCACACACACACACACACAGGCACTGGGGACTTCATTCATCGACACACCACAAGAGTAATTAGTGGGATTCCTCAATATTGTAAATACTCCCCTATTCCGAAATGAACAGCGACTCAGCCTTCGATGCCTCACCGCGAGCAGGGAGGACACTACCGTAAATCCTAGGGGGCACAGCTTAATAAATTCTAATGGTGTTTTATATAAATGCTAAACATAAGCTATATGACCTTTTCATCTCTGTCTTCCCGTGTCTCTGAGGTCTCTTACAAACTCGCACTGCTGCGTGTCCAGGGGTTCTTTTCTTATTTCTGAGCCCATTACAGATTCAAAATGGCACCAGGGATCCCTACTGTCCTCCCAAGTCAGAGGGAATGACTCTGCACTCTCCAACCAGCGTCATTAAAGCCATTTGTCTTGTTGAGAAAAAAAATATTCTTTACAACCTTCTGTAGGTGATTTTTTTTTCTTTTAAATCGATGTATCATATCCTTTCCCCACGGAATTCTTTTAAACAAATAATCACAAGTCGCTACAGTATATCCTAAACATGTATTTCTCGGAAGCCTCAAAAATAAATGACTGTCCACACAGCATAGCTGCAATTGCTGTCCAATAACCACCTCATTGTCTCCGGAACACGATCTGCTCCATTGCTCATACCTCTACATTTAGATAAATGACCACGGCGTCCACCTCTGGCCGCCATCCCATCCTCCTGACAACGTTCAGTGGGTACGGATACAGATGAGATAGGGAAAGCTGTCCGCAGACTAATTCCGGCCCCCGCAAGGCGGGGTCAGTGGTCTTGAGACTCAGAAAGCCTTACCCCGTCCGGCTTGCCATCCGAGGCCGTGACAGTCAGGTCGTACCGATCCGTGGTCTCCCTGTCAAGGGATTTGCCCAGTATCAGCAGTCCTGAACTGTAACACAAGAGAGCACATGGAAACCTCAACGACAAAGCCAGCCACTGAAATAAGCACATTAGTACTTGTGAAATTGAGTTAATTATAGTCATTTGGCAAGACAGCGACAGTTTTTTTTTCTCTCAATATCATATTAAAGTGCTTTTAAAGTGTCAAAGATTAAAGCAGACATTTACAATAAGGTACTTCATAAAACAGTTTAAGCAAAGCAAGAATTACCATCAGGGGATGCGAGGCTCTTTAAAAATGACAACCCCATCAATAGACTTGATGTTTATTTAAACAGAAAAGCAGCAGGTTATGCTGATAAATGTGAAAATGGTAATAAATTGACTGCATTGCCAGAAATATTTTATAGACTAACCAACAGGGTCATGGTGAGCATTTACTGTCACTCAGAAACAAAGAAATCTGGAGATATTGCAAAACATTTAAAGATCGTCTTTGATTTGGTCATAAACAAAAGATGCATTGGTATTTTGAAATATTAAAAGGCCATTTAAAAATATCTGTAATGTTTAATAATTTTAGTATTGCTACTCTTGAAGTGTTTATTTTTATGATAGAATCTGTTGGGGAAAAAAATGAATGGATCTGATGTTCAAATGAAGTCTTTTACAAATCAAAAGAGCCTTTGCATTGAAACTGGATTAATCTTCGCAGATCAATATAGCGCTTGGTGGAACAGAAGAGTTTTTCCTTTTTTTCCCCCACATATTCGGCCCCTGTTCAGCTACTGCAAATTACCGCCATAAAATAATGGCAAGGAGATGGAAGAGATGAAGACTAAAGTGACCTGGTATCTGAACTACTTTGATCAGAAACGAAAACAGAAGGACATTAGCTCCTGTGTACTAATGCCCTTTTGCAGACACATAATCTATTCACAAAATTATCAAAAAGAATCGCAAACACATGCTCACAAAGGTGGAAAAAACACTATTCATAGTAACAGCAAATAATGAAGGATAATTATAATCAGCAGAAGAAAACCAGAACATGCTTCACAACAAATTCAAGGGAAATAATAATTATTAGGGCTGGTTTTGAAGTACTAATTCACTGGGAAAAAGTTCAGAGAAAATTTTCAGAACCTTGCACAAATAAAACCACACCTGAGAGGTAGATGTTCAAATACTTTGCAAATTGATGTGTTGCTTGGGAGATGTGAGAGGGGTGGGATGTCACACAGTCTGAGCACTAGTTGCATTTCCTTCCATTATATTTATCCAATATCCTTTCAGGACAATAAAGAGTCATCTGTGCATGTCTAATGAACTCGTTTAACAAAATGAAGACCAATGAAAAAATGTTATTTCAGGTCTCTCTCCATTTTATATAGATTCTACACATTCATAAAGGTGATTTGTCCAATTTAGTGTCATTACTGCCAGCATATTAGGGCCATTCGTCCCCCAAATCCCTGCTCTGGGCTTGTTTTTCAGACATCATTCATGCAAAGAGTGCATGAATGCAAACACAGTTATGCAACAGCAAAGTATTTCAGTTTATGTTTAATCATGTGACTTATCTAGCAACTTTAAATATACGAAGTCGGGGGGCAGCGTGTGGCTCAGTGGGTCGTGTCACGTCTGTGGGTCCTTGAGCAAGGCCCTTAACCCCCAGCCCCACCCCCCCGGGTGCCACAACAGGTGGTTGCCCTTCACAGCCAAGTTTGCTCTCACCTTCAGAGAGAAAGATGGAGGAGGCGAAAAGAGAATTTCCCCACAGGGATCGATAAAAAGTATCAATTATTACTGAAAAAGTAGCTGCAAGTGTGTATTACAAAAAAAAAAAACAGTGTAATTTCAGCTGCTTAGGACTCAATCTTTTGTGGCAGAAATTGCATGAACATGGCATTTATGTTACATCTACCTTTATAAATTCAGTCGCCATTTTTATCTAAAGTGACCTTACATTAATGGCACCCCAAGTGCATATAATAAAACAGATAAGGACTACACTTTTAAGTGCTTCTGGATAAGTTTCGCAACTAACTGGTCAATAGCACACACACAAAAGATGCTGCTTCAAAGTTTGAAAATGTGTTTTAAATTTAAGGTTTTATAGTTTACTTTGCAAACATATTGCAAGTGGTCATCACTCTGTGGAAGGGATTGTATCTCTATGAGCCTGTCCTTCAAAATGGACTGAAAAAGCAGCTACATAAGTCCAAAAGAACGCCCAAAAGAACACTAGAATTACATCTAATGATCTGCTGGACCCCAACATTATACCTGTTGGCCATATTTATACCCTAACATTACAATACTTGCTGAATAGCAATGTTACTCGTGGGCTGGGCTAGAAGAGTGAGATGGGGTAGAGAGCAAAGTTTTACTGCAAAATATAAATAAATAAAATGAACTTTCCGCTTATTTATATGGTTATTTGTGAACTTAAGCTGATTCTGCAGACTTCTGGAAAAATGTTCTTTGAAGGGTAATATTAGCCCCTTCTAAAAATGTCTGCCAAAAGCCTAGCACAGTCTATCATCAAATTTACCTTATCCCAGCTATTAAGCCTGGTGGTGGGAGTGTCATTGTTTGAGAGCGATTTTCACCCTGTGCTCCTGAATGACTCGCCATTATCGCGGGAACGAGGAGTCGCAGCAGTATTACCCAGGAGGGAAGCGTCACGCTCTTCATCTGAAAGTTAAAGCTGAACCGAAAATAGGTACTGCGGCAAGATGATGATCCGAAAAATTCCAGGAAATCAAACAATGAATTAAGAGCAAGGCTTTCTGTGAGCTCGAACGGCCAAGTGAAATTCCAGACCAACAGGAATGCCGTGCAATTACAGGAGCCTCAGTTTTTCAAGAAGGCAATTAAAATCTGGAGCACTTAAAGTGGCACAGGAGAGAATGTAAGAGCTGTTTGTTAACTATAGGAAATGTTGAAGTTTAAAGTGATGCCTGCAAAACAATGCCCATCCATCCATCCATCCATCCATCCATCCATTCATCCAAATTCTAATGATCCCGTAACTGTTGCACAGGGCACGCTGAGTGTAATGCCAGTCCCACACAGGGTACATTGTTAAACAACGTGCCAAGGATTGCAGAATAAAAAGGGTAAACTTGTTTCTAGAATAGAATAGAATAGAATAGAATAGAATAGAACAGAACATAATAGAATATCAATACTTTATTCATCTTTGTGGGGAAATTGTCTTTTTGCCTGTCCCTTCCTGCTCTCCATGTGACAAACACACACATATCGAGGTGAGTGTGAAGCTTGCGGGTTACAGCACAGGGTCAGTCAGTGTTCCAGTGCTCCTGGCGCAACTGGGGGGGTCGCGGGCCTGGTCCTGCAACCAGGAGACCATGATGATCTTCAAAATCCGTTGAACTTCGTAGTGTTAGCCGGAGCTGTTCCTTTGAATGCCTGGATGCCAGTGCCGACGTCTGAACTTGATGTGGGCGGCAGCTGGCAGACTGCAGAGACCGGGAATGATGAAACACGAATTCTTCGGAGTGGCAAAGACGAGGCCTTCAATGGTTTCCTAAATATGCTGGAGGGCATGAGCAGAAAGCCCTGCTAGAAGGTAAATCCAGCAGCAAAGTATGGAGATGCTCACAGCTTAGGTCAGCATCTGAGTAGAGGCTTATGAGGGAGGGACCATTATGCTCTACAGAGCAGGTTCTTGCTCCTAATGTGCCATGAGAAGCTAAAGTTAACGACAGTGACAAGAAGCACCTTTTCTATGCCTTCACATACAGTTTACACCTATTAGTCATTAGGATGGCAGCTTCTATTAGTTCATAATTATATGACCAGATTTAAGCAGAAATACATTTTTGTACTGGGAGAAAGGTAAAACAAACTGGTTCGTGAATTTGCCAACAACATAAAGATTATGGAGCACCATGAAATCAGCCATGGGAACGTGTGAGGCTTTCACAGAGTGTTACTCCATGTCTTCTATTTCCATTCCATTTGTAACTGGTTTTTATTCCCCCCCCCCCCCCCCCAATAAAATGAAGAAAGGCGAAAGGCAGCAGATGAACCAGGAAGCAGGAACAGGATTATTGGCAGCACCTGCTGTTCAATCAAATGCACCATCTTTACCTTCCTGCTTATTGAAGGGGAAATAACAGAACTCACGTATTAATGTTTTATTGGGTTCCTGAAATGGCGGCGGTTAATCGTGATTTTCGTTATCGGGCTTGGGAGAGTCTCCACTGAAAACTACTGAGGCTGGACTTTCAGGGGGTTCTGCAAGGAACGTTTCATTGCCCTGAACTTCTGAACAGCATCTCCCATAATCACATCAGAGCCATTATGCTCCTTTATAGAGTCCTTATGCTTCGGTAATCTGATATAACAAACAGCTGAAAGAAATATTTACTATATTTATGCCATATTTATTCCCCGCTGCAGTCTATATTAGAGAGAAGTGTGACAATGAAATGGCGCTAAAACACAATTGCTTTGCCTTACGGACACACTGTGGCAGGACGTGAGGCATACTGTAGGTGTAAATGAACCAAATGAGGAGACAAAGGCAGAGGGCGTCGGGGTTAGGAGAACAGATGGACTTTAATACTGGAAAGAAGACAAAGACCTCTTAAGAAAGGCAATTCGCCAAGACACAAAGGACTACAGCAAGCCCCGAAAAAAGCGCTACCTATGTGGAAAAATCCAAGCCTCGCTTTGCCCTCTAAGACTCCACCTGAATACACTGAACTTACCCCATAAAATGCTAACAAGCAATTACTCCAATCAGGCCCAGCTGGGATTCATTAACCGGGTTACTTATGGGCATCGAGCTGGTGATCAATCATGGTGGAAGTGCAAAAAACTACCCAAATTTTCCTCTACCTACTGCCAGCCATATATATACACACAAACGCAGCGTTACTTGTTTCATTTATTGCTTATTAGTCTTATATACAAAAAAACCTAGCAAAAATCCCCTTTTGCTTTCACAGGATTAAATCTGTAACAGTTGGAAAATAAATAGATGTCAGGTTGCTTTAAAAACATTGGCTAACATTTTACTTAAAGCAGTCACCATAATGTATTATAGATGCACTATACAGTAGATACTATCATAATGCATTAAAAATGTCAGTATAAGCCATTATAATGCATTATGAAGGTATTTATAGTGCATTATAAACATCACTATAATGTAGTATGCCTTTTTATAAATATTTATAGCCATGTTGATATTTATGAATGCATTATTATGCATTATAAAGGATCTATAATGCATTATACATGAGTGCTTTAAGTAAAGTGTTACCAAACATTCTCTTTTTGATACAGACCATTTTTATTTCCCATTTTAGTGACATAGTAAAATGGATGTTTTGCTTCTCTAAATGTAACATATTTTCAAAAACAAGCACTGACTAATATGCCATCTGATGCTTCTGGAAGTCAATGGGAAAGTAAATTGGAAGCAATATTGGCAATCTGAGGACACATTATAATCTGCCAGAAAGAGCAACCAACACACAAAAAATGTAAAGCTAAAAAAATAAAACTGGCCTTCATGCTCAATGAGGAATTGGGCTGATATAGAGGGTAATGACAAGAACTGTCAAGTTTTAAACCTGAAGGGCCTTTACTTGTAATAAAAAAGCAAAGTGTTAAAACGTTAATATGCAATTTCAGTTAGCAGCATGGGATAAATGATGCAAATTTGGAATCAGAATAGATGAAGAACATTTTGAATCCCTGATTAGCATGTTGAGTCTAGAATTACCTGTAGAGTCATGACAGACCTTCATGGGAATCATGCTTGAAACATAATTACTGATAATGATAAAACCATTAATCAATTATTGCTAAATATTAGGAAGAAACCTGACTTCGGAATTGCATTTTGATTTTAAGAAAATATGGGATTTTGTTTCCAAAACATCCTTTAATTTTGTAGTTAGGACCAATTTTCTTATTCAGAGGTATGGATGAACAGGACAAGGAAACATACAGTGCTGAAATAAGCTTACGTTTCAGAGAGGTTGAAGACGTTCTGCGGATCCCCGGTTTGGATTTTGTATGTAATAGGATCCTTTTCTCGATCTGTTGCCTAGAAAATATAGAAGATTTTGCAAGATTCTGAAGATGTTCTTATATAGCTGGTGTAGTGTTCATTTTACAGTAGTTTCCTTCAGGAGAAGCAATACTTTTCATTTAATTGGGGTTTTCCTGAAATTCAAATAAACCCTAAGGGGCCATTGTTTTTCTATATCTTCTATAATTCTTAATATATTTTGCTTAACAGTACTCAGTTCCATCCATCCATCCATCCATCCCCTAACTGTTTATCCAGTACAGGCCTGAAGGTACTCTACTAATTGCATCGCCATACAGAATTGTACCAAGTCTACCTTCATTCTCCCACAAATGACTTATTCGAATGTTACAGTAAGTGGATAGTGTGAGCTCACATTTGGGTCTAGGTGACTCTGACTTGGTGTCAGGTTTGGTTTGTGTTAGGAGGATGGGAGGAGGAGGGTGGAACCTGCCCACCTGCAGATTGAGCAGGATGGCCCCGATCCTCATGGCCTCGCTGACCTCCATGTTGTACGTGAACAGGGGGAAGCGTGGGGGACTCTGGTTGTTGGGGGGCAGGACTTCGATGTAGACTGTGGTGATAGAGCTCCTGGAAGGAATCACAGTGGGGTTTGCTGAAGTGGTGCCTCAAACAACCACAGGGAATTACCAGTCACTACATACTTCACTGTGAATGCCATGTGCTAAATCAGGCCCATTTCCTGTTTATGGCTCGATCTGAACCCATCTTCATCAAATGAAATTTTAAACAATGATTGCTCTCTTCTCGTAGTTTCTGTTTACTGTAAACCCAGAAGGAAATATACTAGGGAGCAAGGGCGTAACGCAGGATTGAAGAGGGGGGGGGGGGGGGGGTGTTGAGATGCCCACCCATTTATCATTACAATATGATTATTTGGGAGGAGGGGATTGTATTGACTGGTTCTGATTATTAGGGGGGCTATAACCCCTCCCATCCACCCCCATAATTTGCGCCCGTGCTTGGGAGTGCTTACATGATCAGATTGTTTTTCAGGACGTAAGTTTTAATGTTTTCCTTCTTTATATCCGTTAATTTCTTGCAATATGGCAGGATACATTCAGTATTATATCTTTGATGAGCAATATAGTTTTTTAATGAAGGCACAAAGGCGATGCCATTAGAAAATGACAAAAATAATAATACACAGATAATCTACAGATAGATATAATACCAGTCAAAATTCTGGACACACCTGCTTTCAATGCATTTGTTTGATTTTATCCATATTGTTTACCTTACAGTAAAAGGCCTCAAGACAATGAAGCAATACATATCGAATATTGCAACGGCCAAGAGTGTTCAACATCTCAAGTTCTTTTCAAATTTTGCACTCTTCAAAACAGCCCCTTTTTGCTTAGATGACAACATTCTTGACTCTTGGCATTCTTTCAACCAGCTTCCAGATGTAGCCGCCTGGAATGCTTCTCCAACAGGCCTGAAGTGGTTTTTAATAAGTTCTGGGCACAAGCTGGCTACCTGCTCTTACTCTTCGATCCAACTCACCCCAAACCAGCTCTACAGGGTTAAGATCGGGGGGATTGTGGGGGCCTGGCCATCATTCCCATCACTACATCTCTTTCCTTGTTCACAAGGTCATACTTACTACATAACCTCGAGGTGTGCTTAAGGTCATTATCTTGTTGAAAAACAAATAAGTTTCAGTCGGTGTGTTCAGACTTTTGACTGGCACTGTAGGTAGGTAGGTAGATATCAACGTTATTCCTACCATCCAATATACTATACACATCTTACGAATTAATTTTCACTATAGTAATAGTGACTGCTATTCTCTGCATATGGGACTTTTTCCAAGGAAAATGCACCTATCATAACAGTATCTTTTTGATGAAACAACTTCTGTTTACATAAAATGTAAAGCGATTGGCCCAGCAAAGTCTTAAAAGCCAATCAGAACCTGCTCAGTCCAAACAGACCTACCTCCTCTGCAACACAGGGGCACTGTCCGTGGCCTTGACGGTCAGCGCGTAGGAGCGGCCCACGATCAGGCTGACACCAGGCGCCACGGAGATGAGCCCGGAGCGGTTATCGATGGTGAAGTCTCCCTGGGCACCTGCCAGGATCTCGTAGGTTACCAGCCCATTGAGACCCTCATCTGCATCCAGTGCTGTCAGCTGAAGAGAAGGCAGTGTGACCCTTCAAAACTGCATAATGTGCAGATTTCTAAAAATACAGACAGTCTATTCCATTTTAAATCTGCCATGTGATGAAAAATAGGACCATATGACCCGTTTAACAACATTCAAAATGGCAAATAAAATCACAGAAATCCCATCTATAGTCAGACAGCACATTAACTTGACAATAATTGCCATCACTGATACAAAGTTGCCATACCACAACTCACCAATAAGGAAAAGTATGGCTCAACTTAGAAGCTTATTATTTCAAGATGATCCCATAATCCAAAATTTAAACGTTTCCTTCATACCTGCTAAAACTACTGCTACGTTTATTATAAAAAGCATTTCATTTCACGAGAGCACATTCCACTGAGGCAAATGCTTGAACTATGAACAGGTATGTCTGGTATAAGAAACAAATTAAATCAAAGTATTTGCAGTAGCATTTATTACTCAGTTACTCTAAGCTATGGATTATGTTCTGATTATGAAATAGTTATAAGCCAGAGTCTCCCCAAATCTAATGCTTTCTAGTGAAAACCTTTGAAAGTACAGCTCAAGGTTGTTGCAGTCAGTACTACAGTAATTCACTCCCAAATTAGGAGATGATGCCACTACTATAGTACTCGAAGCAGGCGGCCTGTTTGCGAGAAAAGCGAGAGGTACTGATTACCCGAAGGACGGCATCCCCCGATAGCATGTCGGTGTAAATGTCGACGCTGTAGGAGATGTTTGGGAACGTCGGCGCGTTATCGTTGGCATCGATCACCAGGATATTAACGATCACAGGTGCGCTCTCCTGGACTCCGTCAGAGGCGATCATCTTTTTGGGAAAAGGAGGCGCAAGATTCACAAGTTCACAGGCCAAACTAATAAAAAAAAAAGGTAGGTAGCTAAAGAGATTTCAGGACCTTTTCTAGCCTGTAGTAACACTTTCAAATAAAACTGTTTCAGCAAGTTCTGTATTGTCAGTGTGAAAGTACTATAACCATGAGTGCGCCCTGCAGAAAAGCCCTTGCACAACTTAAGATCAAAGTGTATATATATTTTTATGCCATTGGAACCAAAAAAATGCATTACTGAGTGCAAGGCTTCTAGCACTGATAGTCACACACACATACACAAAACCCACACACATTTTCTAATTTTAATCTAAAATAAGAACGCAGACTAACAGATACAGATGATAAAAAGTGAAAAATCTGAAGTTGTAAAATGTGTTCTTTGATTTCAGGTATTAGACATAGAAGAGGGGAACAAATTAGTTAGAGACAGCGTAAAAAAGGGAAAATGCCAAAAGTTTCCGGAAGCCCATTTCAAACCCCCTTCAGGAGACACATGGCGTATTTAAATGAAGGACATAATTTCCTGAAATACCACTACAATATTTATTTATAACTTTGAAGAGCTCACACGCTGTTCTTATCTACTCTGTTCCCTTACATTCTTTTCCTCTCAAAGTCTGCAGCAACCTCATATCGACTTCATATCGTTCTCATCCCGGGCACCTACTGGAGATCACCGAGTGCCACATCACCTTTCCTCAGCATTATCAGACCTGTCCTCATCAACACACAAAACACCTGGAAGGTTTCTCCATTAGGCAGCCACTTCAGTAAAGTCTCTTGATGAATAATTTCTGGTAAGAAAGTTAGAGTCTTGCATGAGGGTCAGTTTGAGTGCATAACCTTGCATTGTACTGAGGGTATTTCCACCAAATGAAAATCAGTGACCAGGGATGAGTAGCATTAGACAGAGCTTGGATAAAATACAATGACCTGTAAAAATTAATACAGATGAGAACAAAAACAAAGGTAGACCGCTGAAGTCCAGTGAAAACTGGAGGAAAATTGCACACTCAATGGAAAATGAAAAATGGAAAGAGACTAAATGTTCTGAGTTTTCAAACGACATATAAAAATCCACGTTGTCATGGTTTCTACTCTCCTGCTTTAGAATATACATGCAATGCTGGTGACAAAGATACAGACCAGTTAGGGGTTAAAATCAAGTAATTCACTTAGCATTTTAAAACTCCTCACTGCTTAGCAACCGTGCATTTCAGTCTTAATCTACAGGCACATGGAGTCTCCAACAGGAAGCAGAGTTAAAGTCTAGTTTTCTGCTCTGCAATTCGAGGGCTAGATCTTCCCCATGGAAGGCAGATTGTTTTTGAGTAAAGTGGAATTGTACCATCAGGAAGAGACAGAACAAGCCAAGGTGGTGGTTCGAGATAAGGTCAAGGTTTCACAGCCATGTAGATCAGGGTTTCTCAACCCGGTCCTCGGGGACCACCAGACGGTCCATGTTTTTGCTCTCTCCCAATTCCCTGCCAATTGGGAGAGAGCAAAAACGTGGACCGTCTGGTGGTCCCCGAGGACTGGGTTGAGAAACCTTGATGTAGATGATCCTTTTGACCGGTAAACAAGCACTGTGGTGACCTATCAACTTCAAAAGAGTGCTTTATCGATTCTTTTTGTCTTACACCAGACAAAACATCCAAGAGCACGCAAGGAAAAAATAATCAACTACACCATCATCCTTTGTTATCTTCTCCAAATGTCGTGTCAGCGGATCACAAAGAAAGGGGAACAATTTTATTTGGAACATAATTTGGCGACAAGGACAATCTGTCATGTTTGTTTCATAAAATGTTCTTTCCAGTGCTTTCATGATTTCAACGGTAGATCCCGGTCCTATTAAGTTGCAAAAAGTGTCAAGTTTTAATCAGGCATTGTCAAATCAGTTGCGGGACAGCCCTATCGGGTAGCTTTTTAGAGTCGACCAAAATGAATAGCCTGATTAGCAGATTATAGCTGTTGTTGACTGATATTAGGGCAATTCTCTGGTTTAAATACTGATCTGATAGCTGAACAGAAGTGTGAATGACCCATTGAGAATTTCTAGTTATACACCCAAAACAACTAGCTTGTCCAAGACAACGGTTAGCTTATTTAACAGTAAATTAACAAGGCTTTAATAGTGGAAAAACTGATTGGGCTTACGGTCTAAATCAACAACACAATTCCCCTAGCAGAACACATGCATAAACACATGCTTACAGACGTTTTTATTTAACGTAAACTATTTACAAAGGATTATTTTGAAGTAGTGGCATTAGGGATGCAGTCATTCAGTTCAGTGCTGGGGTGTATTCTGGAGATGCACACCGCACTACAGGAATGACATTTTTTTCTAAAAGGCCTTCGGCTGCAACTGTGGCTCATCTCAGTGTTTTAATCAATCTCTGACTGAGGATTCGTGAGGTGGGACAGATGCACAGTGCTCAGAATGATAAGTCCTCCAGGCTTGGTCCCCAGAGTCGGGGCTGGAAGGAACAGAAACGTATTTGCATTGTGTGGTGAGAAACAGCTTCAGTTCTCACACCATTATGACACAACCCAGTGTAATGAACTTCACTGATTTTACAACTGCAAATAAATCCAAAAAAACAACACCAACTGCATAAAAAAAAAGACCAGGGTTCACAGGTGAATTTATGCCTGGGCTTTTCGTACGATGATGGCTAAGATCTTCTAATCTGAGGATGAAAAATGTTAGGAGTATTTGTGGGTGGAGCGCACGAGAAATTCATCGACATTCCTCCTCGTGAACAAGTGCATCTGCCCAAGGGGCGATGCGACGTCTGGGGCACAAGTGCCACCGTGTCATGCATCATCAAACACAACAAACGTTGAGATTAACAACAGCGTATAACAGAATGCTCCAGAGACGGGCCATGTTCCGCTCTTCCACTCTAGCTGGTGGGAAAAATGCTTAAAGCTCCTTGAGGATGGTAAACAAAAGCAAGCACTGACATTAAGGAGTCTCCAAAGAACAGAAACTTAATTCTCTCCCTCAATATGAGAAGCTGAGTGAAGAGTCCCTTTCAAAAGAATACATTACATCAAATTATTTTCATCCAAGCATTTTGAAATGTTCCGCCAGGGTATTACTTTTAGGGAATTGCAGATCAGAATATTAATTAGAATATCAATCCTGTATGAAGACAAAATTAAATGAGCAGACGTTCAAATAGCATTTAAGATGGGGGACATGATATGTATCGGTATAATTTGAAGCTACTGAGAACGCTGAGGGGACTTATTTAACAAGTCAATAGAAATTAGCAGTTGGTAGTTACACATGTTGCACCTTTAAAATTAGCAATAATTATTTTACGATTGGCACCTAGTGATATTATTTAATGTTAACGGCTTAAATGTAGCCTCATGAGGTAAGCCTCATAAAACATTGATTAGGGAAAGGTTAAAACTGCCCACCCTTAATTACAGGCACAAATATAAATCTACCCTGTGGTTATAATATGATATTTGGCTGACTCAAGGTTTTTTTATCCAAAGTGACTATGAATTTTTAGCCATTTCCACAGCTGGATATTTTACTGGAGCAATTCATTAGTTTCGGGTGCAAGGGTGTGCCCTCCAGCATATTGGGAAGCCTTTTTCGTTACTGTATTTGCTGAGTGGCCTTAAAGTGGGATGCTAAACATTTTCTGTATATTCTTCAAAGTAGAGTATGAACTGTTTAATTATCCGGTAATATCCAGTTATAAGGGTCTAGCCTACCAAAGTTTTGGGAACACAAGCAACTGATTTAGCTGTATTTAATTACAATAAATAATGAGAAACATCTAAAATGCAATTTGAGCTTCTTAGATAACAATTATTGATAGGATGAAAAGACGGCATAGGTCCCGGTGGCCAATCGTGCCCCAGATGCACTGAGGTAGTGATGGGTATCACCCTGATGGGGCTGTCCTCGCACCTACACCTTTGCGTGATCACACAGGAAACGGGAGGAGACAGAGGCCAGGCTGCCGTATTTCATTTAATTAAAATGCCCCATTTATCATTTCCCTCAATTTAATGTTTTTGCAAACAGTCCAACATTCATTTCTTTCTCTTCTTGAAAAACTCAGTGAGAAACCTAGTACTTTTAACCTCTGATTCGTCACCTTGTCAATGCGCGCATGCACACACACATACACGCACACACACGTCTTTGTGGGGACTCTACATTATTTCTATGGCCGTAACCCCAATCCTGACAATGACACTCTTAATCCCCACCCAGCCCTAACATTAACCACAAGTAACCAAATGAAATGCAAGACTTTTCCCATTTTTAGATTCCTTTAATTGCAGATTTTTATAAAACTGAGTTTCCCCTTGTGGGAACCTAAGAAATGGTCCCTTCAACTTCAAAATAAAAGGTGTTTATCATATTTTTGTATATATAATATAATACATAACCCACACAGACACATACATACACAGGGACACACACAAACATATACACACACAGCACATGTGTCGACCACAAAGACCCTAATGAAAATAAGACCAAAGTAAGACCCATGTCAGAAGGCATTTCCTATACATCAAAAATATAAAAACACTGGTTTCACTGGCTGTGATTCTAAACACCTACATAAAAAGGGGCCTTACCCTAAAGGTGTAGTTCTGCTGTACTTCACGATCTACAGGTGTCAGCAGCTTCAGGTACCGCATTAATCCAGATGGGGTCACCGAGAAGACTGTGGTGTAGTCGTCCAAGGATATCTGCACCATTGGGTCTTTGGTCTAAAACAGAATGTTACATTGAATACTAGTTTCACTTTCACTTTCCCTCCGTGCAGTTACAGGCGAAAACGTTGCGCCGCATTGGAGAGGTATCACACCGTACAGCACGCAGTAATCCTTCACAAAACACAGGAAAATCATCCACATCAAGGATGCATTAATTGTCTGATAGCAACTGATTACAGAATCCCTTATCAGACAAGAAGGGAAGTGTATCTCTGCGAATGGAAATTACAGCACTACACAGCAAACTACTGCAGCAAACAAATCATTGTCAGAAATCACGCAGCACACCACCTAATTATAATTGATTAGGTGATAATTGTTTCACTTATCCGTGAGATAATAGCATATTATTCTGAATTTGGAATAAAGACAAAAGACCACAAAAACCGGATAGGGCATAGCACCTCTTGAAGTAAACAGCTGAAAAATTAACTTGAAGTTTATGAAAATATGTATTATAATTATGTTATTACACAAATGTCTAATGAATTATATTAACCGCTTTCTTTTATGATGACGTTTATATTGCAGTTATGCTATTTAAATTGGATCAGCAGGTGACATATGAGGCAGTATGCTATCACGCATCACAATAATAACCAGCAGTGCTACATTAATATGAGCAGAAACATATCCAGCTATGGCCACACGTTCATACAGAGAAACTAAGTCTGCAGTCATACAGTTTCTAAAATTAACTGGACACACTTAAACCATTAGGGGACCCTTAAAAGCTCTTTTTGTCTGACCAAATAGGGTAATTTATAATTACTTATTATTAACAGTTAGCAAAAGGCGTACATATAGACAAATATATTTGCATTCAGTTTCATCTGAGATTTAAGTCTGTGACATAAAGGCTGGATACAAATACAGGAGCTGCATCCTTTGAAGTACAAGGTCTACGAAGGCGCAGCCTTCACACACCGCAATGTAAGATGGGACAGTGTGGCCCTTGGATAATCTCCTATTTGCATCAGCAGCTGTCCACGCCCTTACCCTGGAGTCACGAAGGGCCGCTCCTATCACATACCTGGGACACGCCCACTTTACCTCTGCGCAATGAACCCTGGGATATGTTGGGCTGTGAAGGATTCATCGGGTGCATCCCTCATGACTCAGCAAGAGGAGGGACGCATTTCTAGACTGCGTGTTAAAGAGACTCTGAAATGGGATGGCCGTCTCTCAGCGCTGTCATGCATTCGGCCTTCGAGCGCAGCCTTAGCAGGATGCAGCCTCTGAATTCAGACACAGTAATTGTATGACTAACTGAATGTTTGTATATCTATGTATTCAAATGCTAAAGAACAGAACAGAAGTCTCTGTCTAGCTCATTTTAAGTCTACCAGATTCAACAGAATGATAAAGCACCGCGGATATAATAATTGATGCAAATATCTTTAACTTTATCAGTCAACTTACTCAAGTGCACTACTTTTTTGCTAAGTACTGTACACATTTAGCTGAGGTAATGCTGGGTAACTAGAACCATTTGTGCTGATTGACTTCCCCTGTCCTTCATTAATAACCTGTTCATCCTTGGGCCTAGTAAAATCAACCAGGTCCTGAGTGCCGCCCTGGCCCTGGTGCATTTAATGCCATCCACGCTAGCATTTTTATATCGTCAAAATAATTATTTTCTGCACTATGTTGCCTCTTTAAATGCTGAAATGGTAAGTGCTTTATGCGTTTCATAAAGCGCGTTGTTCTGTGCACCGTGCCCAGGTCATGCGGATTTATAAAGCATCTCTCTCTTCTCACTGCTCCTTTTAAAATGTGGTGTGTAATTTCAGATTCATGACATTCTGGATTTTTGCATAAGTTCTGATACACACATCAGAACTACTCTGTATGAACCACGGTCGGACAAAAAATAAAAGAGAACATGAACAACAATCTAGGAAAAAGCATCAATAATTTATCTGCTAAAAAATACCAATGTAGTATTTCATAATTTCAGTGTATTTTAGTGAACCGATTATAGCGTAAACTCCTACAGTGAATTCAAACCCATGATAATTCATAAAGTAACATAAGCAAGCCTGGTAAACAGAAATTCACTGGTGAAAGAACTAGCATGCAATAAAAGCATAATCAAATCAAAAGAATTACACCACAACACTGCAAACAATCATTAAAAATTTAGGTGCAAGGCACTTATAAGAGCACTTAATACGTACAGGTGTGGCGTTAGGCTTAAGCTAAAACAAGGAGACACAAGATACAACATAGCTATCAATTAATGAGATGTTACATAAAACCGAGGGCAATATATATATTGTACAAATGTATCTTCGATATGACTCAGTTACTGATTTATTTTTTACCATTAGTAAAGTCAGTTTTGCAATTTGCAAGACGACAAAAATAATGCCAAGTATTGTTCACAAATAAATTCCAGGAGCGAGGTCCGTGAAAAATGAATTAAAATCCTTCTGAAACATGGACACGCAATGAACGATTACGCACAATAGATTCAGCTGTTTCCGTCTTACCTCCTCAATATCGTTGTCCAGGGCAATAATTCGGAGTGGTGATGTCAGACTGCTGCTGTTGGAGACGGTGGCTCCCACAGGCGCCGACTCCAAGATGAAGCCCTGGTAAGTGGAGGCTTCAAAGTAAGGCGCTTGGTTATTCTCGTCGAGGACTTCTATGTGTAAATTAGCGAACGCTGGGAGGGGGTGCCCGTTATCCTGTTCTGCCTACGAATAAAATGAAATATTTCTCATGTTTAAAAACTGCCGATCCATCCTGCAAAAGGATGATTCAACCATTACACTGGCAAATACACTGTTTATTCACAAATAATTTATGCTGAAGAGAAATGTATTATTTGTGAGAGCTGGCCGAGATTTTAAGCACTTTTTAATTAAGATGCATCACATAATTAGTAGCGATCCATTTCTCCTGCAGTGGTTGGACAATACTTGTTAAGGCTGCATATGTGCTGTCAAAGTTGACTTTAGCAGAAAACTATTTAGATAAGTATAATTTGCTAAAAATAAAAAGAAGTAATCTAGCACTGATCCGAATTAAGGGGTTCCCAAATATGGAACCTTCCAGGTACTATTCTGCCATTGTCCTGACTGAGCAAGTAACATCAGGCGTACTGCATAGGGAATGGGGAAGTTAGGACAATTCTAAGGGCCCCTAAGTGACAGGGGCCTTCAAAAAATTTAAACATAATATGACTGGCCTGGGTTGGGGGCCCAATATGATATGCTTTTGTGGGGCCCAAAATGTCTAAGGACACCCCTGGGTAACATTAACGGGTATGGAGACAAGTGAAAAAAACTTGTTAAACTTGAAAAATCAGGAATTGCTATTTGAAGCATTTCATAGTGATTTTGAGTGTTTTTACCACCTTAAAAATGTATGCAGGTTGACAAACAGAAACATGACCTCACCAAGTGGTAGACACCAATATCAGTATATCCAATGTGCACCTTTTTCCAACACAGAGCATGCTCAGTCCACTAACACTATCACAAAATGATTTTACTGAGCAAAATAAGATTACTGACCTGACGTAAATAAAAACGGGCCCAAATCTCATAAAAATATTGCCTTGATAGTAAACTTGGAGAGGTAGCGACTCCTAACTATAACTCAGAACAGAAGTTGAACTGTAGGTGTGGCCTACTCATCGCTTTGATCTCACAAAAGTTTGCTGAGGATAAAAATTCAGCAGGAAGAATAACTCACTCACTCATTTATTTTTGACAAGCCTGAAAATCACCATATAGAAGTCACACCTTCGTTACCACTGAGTGCTGATATCTCTAATAACAGGGAGACTATACCAATTAAACCTTATCTCACAGGAACTATGATCCTTCTAATTACAAGGACATTTGGGATTGATTTGGCACCATGACATTTTTGACTAAAGCTGGTCCGGAATATAGTTATTTTTAATTTCCTCTGGAATTAGATCAGAATAGTTGGTTGAAGTGCTAACGTATAATTACAGTTTAAAAATAACTAACCACATTCTGTTCTACACATAGGTGAAGCAAATTTACAATCAACAAACAAATGCAGTTGCTCCCCGAAAAATAAACAAAAGGCTTGGGATTTATAGTATGTGGGGAATGGACAACAGGACTGCATTGCAGCATGCGAGTAGCCCTCCTCAAAAGGCACATCTCACACACGGAGCACTCAGCAGGTTCCCGCTGCTGATGTGCCAAACTCTCAGAGGGGCAACGATAATGTTTAAGGCTATTTATCTGTGTAGTACATGTATATTTGCTCAGGAAAAAACAGTTTAACATTAGAACATATACAAATGAACAATAACACAATAAAAAACCTTGCTCCCAGTTATGTCTGTGACCTCAGCCATCCATCCTCTCTCTTGGTCTCTTCTCTCTTCCGCAGCTTCCTACCTGGTGTCCCTCCTCTTCCGCAGCATTCCTACTTAGTGTCCCTCCTCTTCAGCAGCATTCCTACTTAGTGTCCCTCCTCTTCCGCAGCATTCCTACTTAGTGTCCCTCTTCTTCTTCAGCAGCATTCCTACTTAGTGCCCCTCTTCTTCTTCAGCAGCATTCCTACTTAGTGTCCCTCCTCTTCTTCAGCAGCATTCCTACTTAGTGTCCCTCCTCTTCTGCAGCATTCCTACTTAGTGTCCCTCCTATTCAGCAGCATTCCTACTTAGTGTTCCTCTTCTTCAGCAGCATTCCTACTTAGTGTCCCTCTTCTTCAGCAGCATTCCTACTTAGTGTCCCTCCTCTTCCGCAGCATTCCTACTTAGTGTCCCTCNTCTTCAGCAGCATTCCTACTTAGTGTCCCTCTTCTTCAGCAGCATTCCTACTTAGTGTCCCTCCTCTTCCGCAGCATTCCTACTTAGTGTCCCTCTTCTTCCGCAGCATTCCTACTTAGTGTCCCTCCTCTTCAGCAGCATTCCTACTTAGTGTCCCTCTTCTTCAGCAGCATTCCTACTTAGTGTCCCTCCTCTTACGCAGCATTCCTACTTATTGTCCCTCCTCTTCCGCAGCATTCCTACTTAGTGTCCCCAGTCAAAAATATATGTGTAAATTGGATGGTTGCTGCAAATCCTGGGATGACCTTAAGAGAGGTTTTGAAATGGCTAAGCTGACATACTTTCACAGAAAAAACAATTTTGTACCAGCATGAAGATCATTTGAACTGCCTGAAAGACTTTTGCACAGTACTGTAAGTCTCAGCTAAACAACATATTTTGAATTTTGCCGTTAACATCAAGGGAGGCCCCTCGACATTCAGCAACAGCCTTCGGACTGCAGCATCAACGCGTGAACCATCTCCACTGTTTGTGCCCTCAGCTCCCCCATCTCTGCTAAACTCAAGCCAGCTTTGCCTTCAATTAACCGCTTTACTGCTATACTCTTCTATCACTCCATCTCCCATAGCATTGCTGGTTCCTCACCACTCAAAACATCATAAAGACTCTCTTTCTGTTTCTTGTGAGGTTCTTCCCTAATCTACAGAAACACAGATGCATCAGAATGCCAATGTAAATGCACTGCATTTCAAAAGTATTAACTTCCCCTGATGTATTTAGGCAGACACATTTAAGAAAACAGTTTCTGCATTACCTGGCCAGCAGTCGTTAGCAAAACTTTTAGTTTTTTATTATTGGAATTATATCAGAAAGGTCACTTAAATTAGTTTTCCCTCCAAACAGGCACGGATGTACCCTGCTTTGACGGGGGCCTTGAGACTGCACGGAGAAGGGCATGCAAATAGTTGCAAATTTCAGCAAAACCTGTGTAATTCAGAACTGTTTGCCACCTCCAAACTTACAATCCCGGCAAATTAATATTAACGGAGTTGCTTTCATCACGCTACTGATGGGAAGGGAATCTTGTTTGCGGGTTGAAAACCATTTCGCGAGTCATTCGAGTGTAACGGCTGATATATATATACATATATATACGCTCTCCGGGTGTTTTCCCTAATTCACTGCGAGCCGAAGCTTAAAAGACGGATAGCGGAGCTTCAACAAAGCCTCGCACGTATAGTATGCCTTTCATCTGAAAGGTTATTCACTTTCTCTGCTGCCAACATACTGTTCAGTACGCTGGGAGAGCGGTAGAAGGGAAAACAGCAAGGAGAGGAATAAACTGCTTCCCTAAGAAAAAGGGTGGTGGGGGGGGGGGGGGTTTAGCTCTTTAATCCTGTCACGCTGACAGGGAGATGAGCAAATAGGATAGTGTCAGCTGGCATAGGATCGGGGATGTACGGGGCGGCTGCTCTTTCAGGGTTACACAATGGCTCAGAAGAGTCATAATTTAGCAGTCAGGTTCCGTTTCAGCGTCCCCTGTGAGTGCCATCCGAGCGGCGGGCTCACGCTCCGTGAGGCACCAGAGGGACCATGAGCACGACTCCGGGATCGACGCGGTCTACATTTCCTGTAACCTCCCTGTGCCAAGGGAAGGGTAACAACTTCTGCAAGCGCTTCAAGATCAATGGCAGTATGTGTGTCCCACACGAGTCGCGAAAAGCCTAACATGGGCGCTCGCCTCCCCTCCTGGCTGACACTATGGAAGGGAAACACAGAATTCAAATCTGTGCAGCTCCTTTAGCCCGAGCGAGGGCCCCCCTTTACATTCAGCCCCAGCAAGTGAACCACAAGGCTTAGCGGGCAGACAGTTACCGACGGAAGCTATATTTTCATTTCCCGCGGTGGTACATAGAATGTTCTTTACAGATCATCACCTTCCACAAATTGGTCCAACAACCTTTACAGCGGTATAAAAAAAACTCTCCCTGATGTCATCGCAATAAGGGGCGAAGAACCAACACAGAGCACATAAAAACAGTGTCATTGCATCATTTTGGAATAACCGGAAAACGGTCAGCCTCCCAGGCAAGAAAGTTTCGCTCGTATTACCTTGATCACCAAGTCGAATTTGTGGTATTGATCCCTCCTAATGGGTTGCAGAAGTCGGAGCTCAGCTGTGGTCTGGTTGAGCGTAAAATACTCAGGATACGTCTCTGGTTTACCTAAGGGAGACGAAAAACACACGGCAGGTCATCCCGTGACGTTCGGAGACCAGTGATATCCCCCTAGTGAATGACTTATCTAGAGCATATTAAGTATTATTAAAATAATATTCTTTGAAGTTGTACATCCTGCATGACAGCCCCCCTCCCCCACAAAATATTCATGTGCATATAAATGATTCAGCAAGGTTTATTAAATATGCAGTCTTTATTTGGCCAGTTTATTTAAAAAATTTTAAAAAAAAAAACAAAACACCTGGCTTGTATCTGACAACCTGAGTCTAACCGGCTGCAGCGTTTCTTGACAGCCCTGGATGAACAGGAAGCTGTGGATCAACATCCCCCCCGTTCCCACAGCTCATCTCTCTCCACAGGCGGCATCGCTCAGGCGGCCGCTGGACGCCCTGGGCCCAGGGCCCTCGGCGTGAGATGCGGGGGCCTCCTGGTGTAATGCCTCTTTCACAGTAAACAGTTCCTCTGCGAGGGCAGGGGGGCGTGAGCGGTGACTGATTGCAGATGACAGTGCGTTTGACAGACACCTACCAATGAGGATGGAGTAAAGAATGCCTGGTCGATCCGATGGGGGCTGTATATTTCGATCTTGATCAACTGCCTGAATGGTGGGAGTAACGTTGACTGGGTTTACTTTGCTCTGAAAAGAGATTTATTTATTATTATTATTTATTATTATTATTATTATTAGACGTCACAGGCACAAAAACCACCCACTTTTCTAAGCTTCCCCCCACCCGAACTTTACAAGAGTGTCGGAAATTAGGCATTCCTATGAAAAATGCCGAGAATTGAGAAAGGGAATAACTGCAAAAAATACAGCAGCACTGTCTGATATTTCCTGAAATGTTACAATTCCCTAAAAAAGAGGCTGGAGCTCACAAATAAAAATTATAATTAACATCTTACACTGTGTTGCAGTGCCTTGAGACTGCATTACTTCCTTAATTCCTGCGCATGAGATCCATTTTAAATCCTCAAGCTGAGATTGAATTACAGCACCGTGATAATAACAGGGTTGGCTGTGGACCACCGGCTGCCGCAAGATTTTCAGTTCGAGACAAGTCCGAACACACATGCACACACATTTACATGTATGTAACAGTTTTATGACATTGTAAATAGTCTGTAGGGTTTGCAAACTGCCCCAGTGCTTTTGATGTAGCTGAATTTAGGTTTAAAATGGAATAATATAGATTTGCCGTAAGATTACTTGCGTGAGTGTGACAGTCTGTACGCGTGAGTGTCACGCCAGATGTGTAGGAGTTGGAATGAACTGAGCTGCTCTGGTGATAGGTATGATTCACATATGCCGTGAACAGTGTCAGGAAAATACGCAGACTTGGCAGCTCCAATGCTTTCCGTTCACTGGATCTGAGCTGGGGTCTGTACTACGAAGCGGGGTTACTGACTTATCAGGGTGACTCGTACTGGGCAAAATGCAAGTGAACGAATATGAATTCCATTTAAACTGTGGTACCTTAAATCCGACAAGTTACCCCGATAAGCCAGTAACCCCACTTCGTAGTACAGGCCCCTGGTCAGCTTCAGTGGATCTTCAACAGCCAAACAGCACAGGTAATCAATCAGGAGGCACTGAACGCTGACTCAGTATGTCCAGGTCCATAGCCATGAAACGTCTTTCAGATTTATACACACCTTCCATTGTTACTACATATCTGCTATGACAAACCATATAAGCATGCGAAAAGATACTTGCAAAAAAGTCTCATAAATACTGCTTCGAAATTATCGACTCAATAAAATGTAATTATTTTATTTTGGGTTTTGAATAATTACTTTCAATACAATTCAGTATCGTTACCAATTTTTTATTTGAAAAGTTTCCATTTTTTCATTATTCTATATTATTCTGTACTAAAAGAAACACACTATGCATAGGAAGGGAAAATGATTTGTCATTTTGTATAGTTTAGTGCCCAGAAATGGGCATAACAATTTTACTCTGTCATTTCTCCACACATCCTGACAGCTGAAGTCTACATAAAGAGAATATTATAATCCATATGTGGGACATCCAGCTTTTAATGAATCCACACTGAAACTGTGGACTTCCTACGCCTCAAGCACAAATGTGTTTAATGCGACGAGCAGTGTGAGTTTGCAGCTCGCTTCAAATGACTTCAGAGACGTATGCAATGCCTTCATTTATTTTTGTTCATGTTAAAAGAAAAAAGTGTAACAGATGCAATGTACACATCAGTGGTCACAGTGCTTTCCCTGGGCTACAGAGAACATACTGTCTCTTCAAACAGGTTAGAGGTAACTTCTCACACTTCCAACATCCGTGAATGGAGGAAATCAAAGGAAAGGCTAAAAAAAACCATTTGCAAGGACTCCACTAAAAGCATTTTCAAGAGAAAATATAAAGGTTACCATCACATTATGTAACATCAGAGCTTGTGTTCATTTATTAATTGTGGCTGTGTATATATATAATTCATCTGAGAATGAGAGGAATAATGAAAAGATAAGAAGACACTGTCTCTCTCAATCCATTTCAAAGCATTAACGGCTACATGAAACAGCAGGCAGTGTTCTGCTATGCAGGGTTATGTCTACACTTGTTAAAATGATTTGATGACATATATTAACTTTTCGAGTATCTATTCATTCCTTTCATTGTCCAAGTACGTATATGCTCAACTGAAAGTTTGGGGGTGGGAGAAAATTTTTGATAACACTTTTCTTAAAGAGGTCATCAAAATGGACTACAAATACCTTCATAATGCATTATAATGATCAGTATTAGCCATTATAATGCAATATGAAGGTATCTATAGTGCATTTTAGATGAGAGCTTCATAGAGCATTCATAATGCATAATAAAAATTACTATAATGCCTTTTTATAAATATTTATAGCCATGTTTATAATACTTTATGAATGCATTATAATGCATTATGAAGGTATATATAATGCATTATACCCGAATGCTTTAAATGAAGTGTTACCACTTAAATTTTTGCTTTGTGACTAATGCAGCTTAACAAGGTTATGAATGACAGTAAACTGGCTTTCTTCACATTATGAAGAGTGCACATGAAACCAAACCACAAGCCTGAATCAGAACCCACTGAAGCTATTAACCAAGAAATGACTAGCACTTTCATATAAATCCACAGTCAGGTAGGGAAAAATAGTGAGAGAGCAGTGTGGTCATTTAGCAATAAGCACTAATGCTCTACATTCAAGAGACTCTTCAATCAAGCTGAGACAGCACTCACCAAATTAATTAACAATAACTTTGTCTCCTTCCATTTCACCACTTCTGACATGTTTGCAAACATGACGCACATTAGGACCAACCATGAAGCAGCTGGAAATTTTCAGATTTGCTTTTAGAAAATGAGGGCAGGCGGTTTAGCTATTTGCCAACCTAGAATTAAATAATTTAAACCCAACAGTTACTACAAGTAATGTAATGCGATGTAATGTAATGTAATAGTACTGAAACGACATGCCCATTCATGACAGTACAGGCTACAAACTTGTTCTCCCTGGGTCGGAAGTTAATTTAGTCTGATAGAACACAGGGCTTTGGTTCAGACATCATTTCAGTTCTAATAATTATAATGCACAAATGTCTCTCTACATCTCCATGAGTTCCCTGCCCCGCCTTAAGCTTCCTGGAATAAGCTCTCTCACTCAGGCTGTGATTGGAAAAACAATTACTGAAAATGAACAAATGCAGAATGCATAAAAAATGCACCCAGTTTGGCTCTGGCATTCTTTAACTGGGTAGGAATGATTGCAAAAGCACTTGGCCTGGTGGGTAACGCACTTCTGGAGTCATGGGCTTCCCCCCCCCCCCGTGGTGCAGATACTCCCATTCCTGCCCAAAACACATGCCGCTGGACTAATTGGAGTCTCTACATTGCCCAGGCTGTGCATGCGGCTAAGGGAGAATAGATGGACTAAGAAAGAGGGAAGAGTCTCTATCCTCAAGCTTCAAGGCTTTTCATGGACCAACTAGCTGAGCCACACGACTTTCACCTGACATACTTTTTAATGTGTAACAAGAGGTGGACATAGTAATACGGGCATGTTTTTGCAAACATTAAACGCCGCTAGAATACCATGAGCCACCATACTGCAGTGATGTTTACTGTGACATCTGAAATATGCCATTTGTATTACATTCTGCGCCTCCTTTTTATTAACTACTTTTACATGATTAATTACCACCCTGTAAATGTGATTTTGGCAGCGGGAGATGTTTCACGTGTTTGAATAGCAGCATACAATGACAGCACTTCGTTTGTTTGTTCTCGAACCTCAGTTTCCAGCCAAAAGCAGATTCGCTCGCAAATGTATGAGATATTTGGCTTATGTGTATTCAGCTGAGCAATTAACAGTTACATTAAAGAGTTAGATCCTCTGCAGCTGTTGTAAGATTTCATAAATCTCATTATTCATCTCCCAAAGACTATTTGCATTATCCTTTCCAGTGCTTTGCGACATCATACTCAAAAGCTCAGAAAACTGGCCTCAGTGCTAACCAGGAACACTATAAATTAAATAGGGAAAAATATGCATAGGAAGGTGGTGTGTGGCTCAGTGGCTTAGGATTCTCTGCCTGTGATCAGAAGGTCTTTGGTTCAAATCCCAGGACTGGCACAGCGATGCTGCCTTTGGGCCCCTGAGCGAGGCCCTTACCGCTCAGCTCCAGAGCTGCTGCTGAACGCTAGCTGACCCTGTGCCGTGACCCCCAAATGTGTGTGTCTGTACGTCTCAGGAAGGGAAGATCTCTCCTATTCAGGAGACAGAGTCCAATACAGTAAACCGTGTTACAGTGCACATCCCTTCACTGCGGTGGGGTCTCTCGTGGCCCACATCCCTCAGCCAGTGCTTATCTGTCACTGCTGGCATGTTACCTTACAAACACACGCACTCTGCTCCTATGGCAGTCTGATCCCCCGGCCGTGATAAATGCACAGCAAGGCACCATTTCTCCACACTTCTGTAACAATAAAGCCATTTGCCGTGATTTCATTCCTGCTTCCCTTACATACGAGAAACGACTTGGCACCATTTTTCTTCTCCTACTGTACTTACTTCTACACAAATTTTTTTTTTACAAATAAATAAATAAATTAAATAATGGACGGAATTAACTACTAACACATTGCCGGTAAACACTCCACACGTGACTATTGACAAATCACTTTAATTATCGCGAAACATTGCTATTAATGAAAGATATGGAAAACATGTTTACCTTTCACCTACGAGACTGCATCAGGCACTGTGTCGACGCACATCCTCAGCCTGAAGCTTTTAATTAGACATAAATAAACGATTAGCGTTTATCACGGCAGACTGCATTGCAAGCTCAGCTCTCTAATCTCTTAGCCCACACACCCTACGGTGTCCCCAAACTGTGATTGCGGAGATTTGAGAACACTTTATATAATAAATCTTTTTTCCCAATAAAGTAATTACAAAAGGCATCTGGCAAACCTGATTAGTTAAACACCTCCCCTTTTTATAAATAAATGCTGATCTTTTGCTATGCTATGTAATTGTAAAAAGGTTATAAAAATTCTTGTCTTTCAACTTGTATATATGCAAATTCGAAAAAAAAATAAGCAGCTGATGAAGTTTGATAAGTTTGTG